TATTTCGAATAGATCATATGATTTTCACTACGAGTGGTTGTTGTTAAACTGCTTCTCTCTGGTTTTCTTTTCAATCGCCTAATCTTTCATTATAATATTGGGATCGCTTGTTACTTTTTAAAATTTATCTGGTACAAAGCACTGGCTCAAGCATTTTCCTAAAATATTTTTAAACTCTCCGATATTTATCGATTCCTTTCTATTCTAAGGAAAACTCGCCATACTGTTCTCTAAAGTAATTTTGAAGTCCCTTGTAACATTGCTTTCTTGTATTCTTCACTGAATTACGGTGGTAATACTTTTTCTTTGAAATATTTAACTGTAAATGACTAAAAGGTTTTATGGTTCACTTAAGTGCTTCTAAAATCGTCAGCACGACAGAATAATCTTTCGGTCTAATTAGGCAGATTCGATCAGAACTCGATCTGCCGTGTGGGCTGTCTACTTACTGCTCTAATCGCTGTCGCCAGACAAGGCGGTTGACGTAGTTGTTGGACTTTCTCCTTTCGCAAACAATTCCTTCCAATTTGCGTCTGGGAGATCTTAAGTCACCAAATAACTACATGAGGTTATCTGTATATTTTTTTGTTCTCGTCGTAGAGAGCGCCTAAAATTTCATAGCTGTTGCCGTGGACGATAGCAAGCATAATTTCTAAGATACTTCCGTGAACAGAAAATTCTATAGCCGTCATTTACAAATTCTTTATCATTCCCAATTGATCAATGATAATTAAATGTGTTTCTTCAACGCAAGTATAATACACCACCATCTCTAGCTTCGTGCGATCTCTCCTAACCGTTATGTAGTTTGATACGAAAATTTCGGGTTTGGCCTACGGCGTCGAAAAGCCACGAAGCCTGTTATTTTATTTATGATCAGGATACATGCTTCAATAAATTTCCAAAATTCCGGATTCCTTATTCTGATACCGGACGTACGTTCATGCGTATCAATCTAGCGAAGCTCTCTCACCTGAATGTCAGTGTTAGGGAACCTGTGCATCTCACTATGATTCACGGTGCGGTACGGCCTCTCCTCCCACGCAGCAGTCACACGCGTTTGATCTCGTCACTCCTCGCAGAGTCAGATGCGTCCCTCCGTACTCCCCGCAGCAGTCAGATGCGTCGCTCCGTCACCATCCCCAGCAGCAGTCAGATGCGTCGCCTTCGTAGCTCCCTCTGCAGCTTCAGATGCGTCCGCTCCATACCTCGCCCGAGCAGTCAGATGCGTCGCCGTCGTACCTTCGCAGCAGTCACAAAACGCAGTCGCTCTTTTAGAACCATCACTTGCCTTGGCGACATTCATTTGCCTCTTTCATCTACTCGTCATTAATTCCACGTAAAATACGACGTATTACTCTCTTGTGTGAGAATCCAAGCTTCCATGCACCTCGGAGTTGAGATGAAGGCCGTCGCGTCTAGGTCTCGTGCCCGAGCCAGTGATTGGGATAACCAACAGGTCAATAAATTTCCGCATAGCCAGTAATCCACAATTCCACGTCCACGCGTTTATAACTAATGTGGACATCATTACGGCGCATAACTCCGGAAACAATGACCCTTGCATTTTAAATTTAGCTCGGATAGCATGACCTATTGACATATTGTTTTAAACTGTGTCGATAAAACGGTTGCCAGTTTCCGCGTATTGTTGCTCACATGACTAGAACCTATTCTGCCTGTTTCAATTGTGTTGCGGATTTATTCACACCGAAGTCATTTGCGCACATCTTTTACTCGGGAAAGAAAGACAGTCGCAACTTTTTTTTCAATACACTCGCCTGTGCCGCAGCATCGAGTCTCTAGCAACTATCCCCTTACTATATGGCGCATCTGGCTAATGAGACTCGCCTCTATTTGGCTGCTCGTTCCTCTTCATCTTTTCTTCTTGGGACGCGAACATTTTGCTCCTCCTTTCCTTTGCTGACGTCTTCTAAGCTCCGTATTCTTAAACGTCAGTCTCCATATGACTGTGGGCCTGTGCAAATCCGCTTCCATCTTCTAATTCTTCGGCTGTTCTATCACATTTGGAGCACGTCACCTCTGCTCCTGTACAGGGGGACCAGAGATTTTGCTCACTCCTCCTATCACAAGGAGAGTGGCCAAAACAGCTCGCAAGTAGAGCAACGCCGCCCTTCCGCAAGCCCGAGAACGCCCTTGCGCCGAAGCCACGCTACCGGGACGGGCACGCGCGCCATGCCCCAACACGCGCTCGTACACCGCAAGATCCACGCCCATTGCCTTTCACTTCGCGGAGCTCCTCGAAAGACGTCCGCACGCGGCGACTACCTGCGAGCGACTGACGACCAGAGAGTATATGCTGACGACTACCTGCGAGCATAGCCGAAAGGGCGCGGGTCTACCTACGACCCCCTTTCGCATCTGCGTCGCGGGCGTCCGCTTCCCCCCTCCCTTTTTTTCATGGATATTCTTCAGCGCATCGGCTCGTAGAGAAGGGTGTAAAAGAACTAAAAAGTCGAAGAGCTCCAGAACCTAGAAATATCCCAGGCGAGTTACAAAAAAATGGAACACCAAAACTAATGCTTACTATTCTCAAAAATTAAAATATATATTTCAGTTAGGGATACGATACAGACAACTCAGGATACAGTGAAGTCACTCATCCTAAGCCATATCATAACTTATAAGAACTCGAAGATCCAATTATGGTGAACATAGTAAACACAATTTCTATGACAAAAAAAAAAGACTTAGTACTGTGAATTCATATGACACCAAGGGATTGTAGGTAGAGAATCCCATGTGTTATTTGTGTTATTGATTCAGAACGAAAAGGGAAGTAAGACATCTGCCACTGAGGGAATTGCTTCAGTTCATCAATAACAGTTCTGCCCAGTCTTAAGGTGACATTGATGAGGATTGCAAGTGAAATATGATCTAGCTAGGAAAGGGTTTTCCAGAGCAGAAGAAAATTAAAGAGTTGATACGGATTGGAAGTCCACAGTCTTTGGGAGCCCACAGCCATCCCAGGACAATAAAACGGCAGCAGACGATGAAGAAGGCACAAGAGTGCAAACAAGTAGTGGAGTCAAGGTACTCACTTACCATATGAAGAAATTCCTAAAATAGTGCAAGAAACAAGGAATGGTATTAAAACTGCATTTTGATATTTAGAGTGTGTGCGTAAATTGAAGGAAAGTGAAGGAAGCATGAAGATATTAAAATTTTTTAAATTCACAAACTGCATCTCTAAAATGATGAAATCAATCATAGTTGAAAATATTATATTTTGGGATTATTGAACATTGACCCAAAAATCTTTATCCCTGGAGGATCACTATAACCAGTATCAACTGCAGAACATGTGGATATAAATTTTATTTTGAAAAAGTTCCTGACTTTTTGAAAGATACAATTTTTTGACAGTTGGATATCTGAAATATTCCCTTACCAACCACTGTCACAAAAATGGGCCATGAATCAAAAATGGACATTCAGGACATATCTAAAATTTTGATGCACAAATTGTTTATGTTGTATCACAAGACTAGCATACCCGTGCAAGAACTCTCTCATATTAAACCCCACCCTCTTCCCTACCCTTCCATATTAAACTAAACACGTTTATTTGTTTAAAAAAAGTATAAAAATGTTTACTCACCCATTGTATACCTTTTTATTCACGGTCCTCTAAATCCCGGTAACTTGTTCTCTATGTCTCCTTGTAATTGTACTTTGTACAATTAACTTGTATTGTATTTTGGTGTATAACAGTACAATACACCCTTGTCAATACAAACTATTCTTATTTAACTTTGTTAATGAACAGAGAGGTGCAATTCAACCACATAGTATTACAAATGATTAGTTCACTTATAGTTACAGAATCTGCACATCTATGAACAAGTGAGGTAGTATTGAGAAGCATCAAACCAGGAAAAAATAGAATGTCCAAGATCCCATCTTTTGTTACGGTAAGGAATGTTTTATGATGCTTTGGGTCTCAAAACACCTGCTTTAACTTCCTTTTGGAGTTATAAAACTATATACATTTCAATAATGTTATCAAAGTGTTGCGGATTGCGTTTGAAATGAATATTTATATGCGTTTTTTCATCAAATCCTTCATATTTTTTTCGATAAAAGTGCAATTCCTCATGTTTTAATGAAATCTTCTTCCTTTAGAGGCTTCATTTGTAAATATTAATTGTGTGTGAAAACTGTAAAACTCACCTTTCAGTAGTCACTACTGAAATAATAGTATAGGAGAGGATCCTTTAAATTGTATTTTTCACTTCAACTTGTAGGCAATGTGAGAACTTTTTCACTTTGAGTAATTTAAACCACAAAAAATAGTCGATTTTAATATAATATTTGAGGCATGTGATGAAATTTTTTTCATGGATACTGAATACGACGAAATTCAAGAAGAGAAATTTATAAGTGAATCAATTTTTAGGTATGTTTAAAAATATTTGAGTTGCATTTTTGAAATAGTGGCAGAATGTATAGGCACATGTTGTGCTATGTTCATTCACATTTGAGATTATGTTTCTTGGGATGAGTTTTCTTTCTCCTCTTCCCCTCATCATTTTTACCCCCCCCCCCCTCACCAACACCTACATTTTCTCCTAATTACATTTGCAGTGTACAAGAATAAATATGATTTCATTTCCAGTCATTGTCCCAGAAATGGCATGCCTAAAATACTCAATTTAGAAAAAAATTGTAACCCTTCTGACACAAATGTCAGTCTTAAATGAATTCACAAGAAATACCACTAATATCCCCATCAAATAAATTACAGCAAGTACATGGGTACTTAAATTGTCAGAATTTGGAAAAAGTAATACTTAGAACACACATTTCAAAAGAACGAACATCAAAAATATCACATTTCATTATCACCACCTCTTATGAAAATGTCTGATTCCTGCACAAACAAAATCAGACAACAAATGAGAATCAGTCTCAGGTTGTTTTCTTTTGATAATGAAGACACATGCATAATAATTGTCTACATTCTTGAGATTATGTATGCTGTTTATTAACTTCAATTATTTAGTCTTTTATTGAGAAAAAGAAACTCAGTCACATAAAGTATATTGAAAAAATATAATACTTTCTTTCTAACATTTCTTTTTTAAGTAAACCTAAAATGTGTACTCATTCTGTCGACCCACATACAATAATCTATTTTAAGTATTAATAATGGGTATTTTGCGATACTTTTCTTAACCAACTTTCCCTTGTTGCAACACAAAAAGTTATTTGGGAGAAAACAAATATAAAGTTCTGTAAGTGCCTAAGTATTTGCCAATTATCTGGGATATTATATTTTCTCCAAATTTCTTTTATAAATCACAAAATAAAACAGAAGTTTGGAATGAAAATTAAAGGACACAAGACCTTACATTAATTAACTTATTTGCAAACACTTGAAAACACTTATTGAATAACAAATTTCTCTCCAGCTCAGATAACATTAGTTTAAGAAGGTATTTAAATAGCTACCTTTCCCCCTCATCATCCATTAGAAAATTCAGATGGAAATTTTGAAATATTACAGTTTTCAAATACAACACAATTTTAAAAAAGAAAAAGCACCATGTCAGGAATTTATTCACAGCAACAAGTTTTTCATACAAAACAAATTTCAAATTCAATAGAAATGATCAACCATTAAAGAACACTTCGCTTGCATGCAGATCTGCTAGAATTGTAGTTGTATATCAAGGAAGCACAAGATTTAATGCACAACTGTCTGCTTCAATTTGAATAATTCAAAATTGTTGATCTACACAAATTAAGGAAAATAATTGTCAGAATATGACAATAATTGCACTTCACACATACTACTTTCAGTCAATCATTGAAATATAACAATATGTTACAATTACGAAAAATTTATTGTTAATTTATTCGCGGCTTTTTCTCTGGCGGAGGCTTCATGCTTCGAGGTGTGTCTGGTTTTTCAACTTTTATATCTCTGGGCTCCATTTTAATTTCCTCTGAAAACCGAAACTCAAAAATGAAATTATCATGACTTTTATAAACTACCATGCTTAAGTAAATGAAATGTAAAATATTAAAGAGATATACCAGGTGGAGGTTTTTGCTGTGGAACAGGTACAGGAAATTTGCGTGTCAGTTCTCCCAACAACATATCTACCCTTTGACGTTGGAATAAAGAACTAGGCTCTTCTTTTTGAGTTTCTTTTTTAGTTGTACGCTCAGGAGCTTTCCTTTCCTTCAGATCCCATGAGTATCCTTTTGACGGATGATAACGTGAATAAGAGCTTGCTTCTTCAAATGCTGATTGTAGATGGTGAATAGTCGACATCTGCCAATTAATAACATGATATAATAATCAATAATCTTGTACAGAAATTGAAGATCATATTGACCTACCAGTCTGGAATTTATAACAGACATCAAATCTGGTGCTTGATAGACAATTCCTGCAATTATGTAATAATCGCTAAAGAGTAACTTGTGTTGGGGAATGTCTATGTTGTTTCTAATTACGTAGAGAATAGGTTCTTGTACATGCAGTAAAATGTATTCAAGACCAATCATGGAACTGAAAAAGCTTTTTGATTAGACAAAATAAAAGTGCATACTTTAACTAACAAGGATTAAATCATCCAAAACATATTTTAAGACTCAACTTACTTCAGCTGCTCTGGACTTAAACGTTGCATTTTAACTAATTCATTGTTGCATGTCCGATCAAAGAATGGATTACTACGTTCAGAAAAGTAATCCATAATATTTGATGGATTGAGCATGGGAATCCAAGCACTATCATGCCATGATAACCCCAAAGGGTTTTCTGCAATATGAAAGTTTCTTTACAATTTAATTACAAATTCTTGGCAAATTAATAACAAATATTGGATCCGAGATCGACAATTGGGGAGTTACATGTCTAAATTACTGGAGGTAACTGACCTGGTAAAGGTCTTCCTGGCATCATTCTGGAAATACTTTTATGGATGCTTTAGTTCAAAGAACAAGGAATTGCAATATATGCTTATTAATAAATGTAATATTTCATAAATATTCTTTTATCCACAAAACTTTAAAGACCCGACATCACACTCGATCGTATAACCTTAAAAATGAATTCAAGAACAAATACTACAGCAAACACAAAATAATAACAAACACCTATTTTTTCTGTATTAAGAAATACTTCTATCACATTATTTAATCGCAGTGCTCGAACACTAAAGAAATATTTATTCATATCATTCACAAACCAAACGTCGCAACCTGTCAACCAACCGAAAAAAAGATATTTTTTTTCCTGACGTTTTGGGCTTACTGGTGGACAGCTCCGCAACTACGCTGTTGTTGCCAACATTCCTGGTTTCTCCCCGTGTATTGAGAAAACTGACAGCTAAGGCAACATTAGCACCCGGCTTACTGGGCAGGAAACATAATTCGTTGCTGTGTCAAATATTTTCTTCCGAAAGCTCTTCCAAAGTTTCCATATTTTGTATTACAGAATTAGTTTTATTCAGTAACACGACGCGTTTTTCATTCTCATTTTGTGCTGAGTAATCTCTAAACAGTTTTTGATCATTCAGGTGGAACTACTTACTTTCTCCTGTACATAATTTATTATAAATCATTCTCATACGTTTCAATAAACGTGAACTTAAGAGAAAGATAATGTTTTAATATAATCTTAAGGAAATCAAAATAAATTACCGAATAAATGAAGGTACCCAATACAGAAACTGGTATTTGTTAGTCAGGTAAATTTGCAATAAATAAATTATTAGAACTTACATACACACACAAAAACACGAGAAAAGTATTTTAAAGTAAGTCGAATGTGAGAAGAAAATGTTTTCTAGAACAACTTGACGCGATAACCATTGAAAGACCTTGTGTTAGGGATTTTTGATGCATAATGTTTCACCGTCTGTGTTCGGAAAATTGACCTACAGTTGGCGTTCCACAGGAAACGGGTGGTAATCGCTAGTTGCGGATTTGATAGGGTGTCTGCTTTGTGCAATTTAATCAGTTAATTTTTCACCATGGATGAAGAATACGATGCTATTGTTCTCGGAACTGGACTCAAGGAGTGCATCCTCAGTGGTATGTTATCAGTTTCGGGTAAGAAAGTACTCCACGTAGATCGCAACAAGTATTATGGTGGAGAGTCGGCTTCCATCACTCCCTTGGAAGAACTTTTTACACGTTTCGGTGCTCCCGCTCCAGATGATGGCTACGGACGTGGTCGAGATTGGAATGCTGATCTTATTCCCAAATTCTTAATGGCCAATGGATCTCTTGTGAAATTATTGATTCATACCGGAGTTACCAGATATTTGGAATTCAAGTCTGTAGAAGGGAGCTATGTCTACAAAGGTGGTAAAATATCTAAAGTCCCTGTGGATCAGAAAGAAGCGCTAGCTTCCGATCTAATGGGGATGTTTGAAAAGAGGCGTTTCCGAAATTTCCTTGTGTATATTCAAGATGTCAAAGAAGATGATCCAAGAACGTGGAAGGATATGGATCCCAATACACTGACCATGCAACAGATTTATGATAAATTTGGTCTTGATAAGAATACACAAGATTTTACTGGGCATGCATTGGCATTATATAGAGATGATGAATACCTCAACAGAACAGCTGTTGAGACTGTTAGAAGAATAAAGCTGTACAGTGATTCACTTGCCCGGTATGGCAAATCACCCTACCTCTATCCAATGTACGGTCTTGGAGAGCTCCCACAGGGATTTGCTCGCCTCAGTGCTATTTATGGAGGTACCTACATGTTGGATAAACCAATAGATGAAATAGTATTGGAAAATGGTCGTGTTGTGGGAGTGCGATCTGGTCAAGAAGTTGCCAAATGTCAGCAAGTATATTGTGATCCATCATACGTACCTGATAGAGTGAAGAAAACCGGTCAGGTTATCAGGTGCATTTGCTTGATGGATCATCCTATTCCCAACACAAGAGATGCTCTTTCTACACAAATTATCATCCCTCAGAAGCAAGTGGGCCGTAAATCTGACATCTATGTTTCTCTGGTCAGTTACACCCACCAGGTTGCAGCCAAAGGTTGGTTTATTGCTATGGTCTCTACGACAGTGGAGACTGAAAATCCTGAACAAGAAATTAAGCCTGGTCTTGATCTTCTTGGTCCGGTTCGTCAGAAATTTGTTAGCGTCAGCGATTACTACGAGCCTACTGATGATGGACTTAACAGTCAGATTTTCATCTCTGCTTCATATGATGCTACCACCCACTTCGAAACTACCTGCTTGGATGTACTTGACATATTCAGACGAGGAACAGGAGAGGACTTTGATTTCTCAAAAGTTAAACTAGATCTGGGGGATGAGGAGCAGTAGGTGGGCTTTTTTAGATGTATAGAAGGAAACATGAAAATGTATTCTGTATTCATATATACTCAACTGGCACCTGGTGAGTCAGATGGTACATTGTACTAAGAGTAATACTACTTTTCTGTATTTTTTATTCTGCTATATTGGGAAGAGGTGTCAGTTTCGATTTAGGAAAGTTCCCAATGAGAGTTTTAAAATTGCTGCTTGTTTTGTATCATGTTGATTGGGATAGCCTGATGAGAAGGCAAACAATGCGGTTCGTCATGGATTGAACATATTAAGAAGCACGAGTATTTGCGGTGTTGCTTTATTCCGAAGAAATAAAGTTCAACGAGGAATTACTAATAAAAACGGAAATAATGATAGGCTGTAGTTTTAGCATGTTATCAGTCAGCTAAATGTTGGGTGTAGGTCTTTTCTTGGAATGCTTCAATGCTGTATCTTGTCTTGTCTGTCAAGCTTACTATTCATTTAGTAAAACTTGCTCTCTGTATTATCAAAGGTTTGTTTTATATATTCAGAGAATAGCTTGAGAAGAAAGTTCCATAATAGTTCTCCATTGGCAAATAGATGCTTAGGTAGTACGGTTCACACATGATTGTTCTTTGTGGCAATGGCTATATTAATGTAAATCAAGTTGTGTATGGATGTGCCCTATTGAGTCATGCAAAACAGGTGGTAGTTTATTTTCACGAGAAAAAAAAAATGTGTTTCTTGTTCAGCTTGTGGTATGAATCATATGTTAGCCTAATTTGAGATATCATGCATTTAATGTATATTTGAAAATTATCAACCATTGAGTTTATATACTTCAGTGGAATGTTATCTAACTTGTGATGAGAATATAAGATATTTGTTGTTATGGGTTAAGTTATTACAAATATATACTTTGCAACATACTATACGCACCTCATAATTTGTATATTGGGTTCTTTGTTTTTGTATTTTTGTGTGAATGTGTTTTTTCACTTTAGATGTATTTTAATTTGATTATGCAGTAAAAGCTAAGCATACAGGATCAAAGCAGCTTGTTCTACTTTTTTTTATTATTGTAAGTTGTTGACTTTGATACATATTCCAATACTGAAAAATTAAAATTGCTTGCTGGTAAAATTTGCTCCTCTTCACTTGCTCTTTATACACAACACCTTGATTTGAATTGTAATATAAAGGAAGTAATAAAATTATAACTGAATCTAGAAATGTGTTTGTCTATGCCCTTCCATTGATAAATTTATAAAAAGGCAATGAAGCAGTTTCATTATAATGAAAGTTTCAGATTAATTTTATTTTTTATAGCAATGAACCGAATGTATAATATGGTTAATGGATTTCTTTCAGCATGTAAGTTTTTCCTGGTACTATTCACCTTCGAGCTTAAATAGGTTTAATTTAAGAGGAGGTTTTAGTTATTTTTGTATTGTTTGGTGTGGCTTTTTTAGCTTTATTGGAACAAAGTTTTGGGTTATATTCAGATTCGAAGGGGTCCAAAGGAGGTTATTATGGGTATTCCTCAACCCTTAGCTGATGCTATTAAAATGTTTTGTAGGGAGCAGGCTTATCCTAAAATTTCTTGCACTGAAGTGCAAGAACAAATTAAATTCTATTAACATTTGTGTAGGAAAGAAATCCAAAATGAAACATTTTAGGTAGCTTAAAATGTAAGAATTTGGGATTACTTAAAATCAAAATGTCATGGACAGGAATATTTTTTTATCTTTCAAAATAAAAAATACAATGTTTAAATCTTTCATATTGAATAATTGTACAGGTAATTGTCTCTGCAGCCTACTAAAACTTGACCATCGCAAACGATAGGTGATGAAAATATTTCATTAGGCAAAGATGAAAGACATTTAATGGATCCATCTTCAGCATTCAATACATACAAAAATCCTTTTGATGCTGCAGTAATTACATAAGTATTAATTATTGTGCTAGTAGAATTCAGTTCTTCTCTTACTTTATAAATGAATGGTGTGGCAAAAATCGCAGAATCTAATTCTTTCTTCCACTTAAGAGAGACATTAGAAGCATTTTCATCCCATTTTAAGCAATAAACATTTTTGTCATGACTTCCAAAGACAAGTAATTCATTTAGATCATGATAATCATGAGTAACACTGAAAGATGAAAATACTTGACCATCTGCTTTGAATTGCCACATCTGCAAAAGTTAATACATCATGAGAAAAATACTTATTTTAAAGTAAAAGTATTACATTCATTGGGTTGTGACTCACCTTATCTCCATTAATAGCAGAAAAACAATGAACAATTCCTATAACTTCAGTGAAAATAACGCCTTGAGAGGAATGTACAAGAGCTGGAGAAGAAAACACAGGGCTTGAAACGTGTGTTTTCCACTGAAGCTTTCCAGTTTTTTCTGATAGTGAGACACAAGTGCCATCTAAAGTTGCTATGTATACCATGCAATTATTGCTTGAAATACAAGCACTTGCATATATACTAGATGTACTGGGTGAAATATTCCATATCTGCTTCCCATCCTAAATTTTTTCAAATGAATCAGATCACAGATATTTTATACGAATAAAAACGTGGAATAAAATACCAAACCTCCATGGCTATGCAGTACAAATTGCTGTCATACGATCCTACAACAACAGCAGTATTTCCAAGACACAACATAGGAGTGCTCTTAACCATATCATTAGTGGGAAAACTCCAAATAATATCACCTTTTGCAAGTGAAATGCAATACACACAGCCATTGTAACATCCTGAGAAACAATACATATTCCAGATCATTCAATGTTCTTGTATTGTTATTATATTCTAATGCGTTATTATACCAATAACACAAGATATAAAAGGTAAGATAGTGTAATAAATAGAAATATTCAACTCGCCTACTACTCCATACTTCCCACAAGATGATGGACAAACACTTGATTCAATGCGGTCAGGGAGCAAACACTGTGAAATCAATTCTCCACCTGGGCATTCCAGAACAACTAATTGATGTGAATGTGATCCAACAATTACACAACTTCTCCTGAAAATGTAAATTGTAGTTGAAACATAAGTACTATTTACAAATTTCCATCTTCAAGTTGTCTCAACTTCAAATATATGTATAATGATGAACTTAACATAAACTTGTGGAAAAAGAAAGAAAGATTAAAATTTTGGATACAATCATTCTATCTTCTTTGAAAAATATGGTAAACTCTCATTAATATTTTGTCTTGTATACAAAAGTTTTAGGTAATTTAAAAATATTATTTTTCATTGACTTATTGACCACTATTGATGAAAACTATTTCAAAAGATGCTAAAAAACATCATCCTTATTGTATTTTTCATGGTCATACATTCTTAAAAGTATCTCTTTAACACTAATTTCCAAAAAAACATACTTCTCTAATCCTTCCAAAGAAAACATTTTCACAAACTTTTAGCCCAACACCAGTAGTTTCAAATGTCTCCCATCATATAAGCAATATAAAATATGAATTGAGAACCTCTTTAAAGTGCATTTACACAACATTGAAATTATATTATAGAATGGCTTATTTGTGGCAATATTCTTGGTTCCTCTTTTCCAGACTTGTATCATTCATGCTTTATTTACTGTTTGTAGTGGGAGTAAAATTACAATAAGTTAATTTGTAATTTATCTACTCAACAAGTTTTCTCTTAAGGCTGCATTTTTTTGAACCTATATTTAATTTTCAAAAGAGCAGTGAATTTAAAATCTTATTCACAAACCCTATGAGGAATACTTCCCATTTTGGTACTTTATAAACAATCACAAACTGAATGAGAAATGAGAACACATAACGTCCTATGAAATCCCTTTACCCTAAGCACTTTTTTGAATTTTTTAAACATGGAAAGCTTCCTGTTTATACTTTTGCAGCTTTTCTAGAGGATCTTCCTATTGTAATAATGGCTTTACCTGTTTCTACAAGACTCGATTCCTCTAATCCTATAGTGATATTAGTATCCTATAGTGATAATCCATTAATAAGTGATTTTCTAATGCAGCTGGTAAAACACTGATTCAAAATGACAGTGTAATTTTTCTATTATTCAGAAACCCTTGCAGTTTGAGAGAGAAGCAAAAACTGAAAATTACTCTTATTTCCACTCATTTCAATTTTTTTTACGAACTTCTTAACCTAATTGAGGGTCAACGAGGCATCATAATTCTCAGATTAATGTCTGAAGAATTTCCCTTTAATTAGATTACATTCATAATTCTACATAAAGACAAAATCTGTTTCTTACTTTAATATATTTTCAAAAATTTCACTAAACTTACTTGGCAAATTTAAGATAACAAGGAGAGGCATCCACACATTTCTGCATATCAAATTTCCAATTCAGATGAAGGGGAAGTCTGTTGCCTTCTTTAGGTACCCACGTATCAAAGTGAGGTTCCTTCTCAAATGTTGTTCCTCGGCAACATATTTTGATTAGGAACTCCTCATGCTGTGTTTGTGAACAAGCACTTTCTTTTGTAATATTGCAGGAATGATTTTTGTGGGTTACAATTTTCTCATGCTTTAAATCCACTGGAGAGTCAGAGATCAATTTTCTTCTCTTTGAACTACTTGTACTAGGGTGCAATATTTCTTCAGCTGATAGCAAAGAATATTCATGTGGTTCAATACTACTGAAAAAATCTTTATTGGAATTGTTTTTTTCTTTATTATTGAGTATAGATGATTTTCTAGAACTGATATCAAGTGCTATCCCAGCTTCACTTTTAATCTCATTCCCTAATAAGAACATCTCTATTTCCATTACAGAGGAATTGTTTAGTAACATATTCATCAGTTTATTACGAATTCTTTCTCCAAATATTCTTTCAAGTTCTGTAGTCAACTGAATAGCAAGAATAGAATTTCCACCTGACGACATAAATTTCTCTGATAACATAGGCTCTCGTCCAACAATGCTTCTCCATGCTTCCAGGATGTGCGATGAATTTGGTATATCTTTGTTTGTTATTTTATCATTTTTGTGCAAAATAATAGTCAGTAACTTTTCATAATCAATTTTACCTGCAAACAATAGTCATTTAGCAAGATCCAGTTTGTATGTGAAGGTGTACTAGAGTTTTCTTGAGTTCATAAATATATTTTCAAAAACGTTTGTAATTTTTAATTGCGTGGTTACACATAACATAAACTTCAACAAAATGTGTTAAAAAAAATCTTATCAGTGAATTTTAATTATAAATGTATTGAAATAAAATGTAATTAAACATTATAATACACTTTTTTATCATTGTGTTAACAGAAGCATAAGAATTAAGCAGAGAAATATGGGTAATGAGAAAAAATGTGTTCAATTTATGCATTTTTGTTAATATACATTTATAGTTTGCTAAATTCTTTTTGCAATTTTTCTTTCTACAATTTCTCTCTACAAATATTAAAAAGAAATTTTAGACCCCAGAAAAAAAATAATAATAATAACTCCCCCCTCTTGTCTTTAAGCAATAAAATGACTAAAATAATGAAACTGCTTTAGGAAAAATTATAAAGTCAAATATAGACAAATTTTACTAAATCAAGTTCCTGAAAAGAAATCATTCAACACCAAATGAAGCTGCAGTGAACATAAACATTTCCAAGTTTTTATTACAAAGGATTCAAGCAGCTTATATTGTATATTTTTCATTTCAATCATAATGAATGTGTTGATCAGTTCATTGTTCACAAAGGCTATAATGCATTTTTTTCCAAACATTGTAGATATCCAAACAATAGGTTATGAAAAATAAGTAATTAGAAATCATTAAAAAGAAAGAAGACAAAAGTTGGAAATTGCCTAGGCTGCTCTAGCCCTTACTACAAAAAGCGAAGATGCTCAAACATTAAATTGGTTATCATGTTAAAGATAGATAGATGGCTAGGAAGAATTCATTGTTTGTCTCGAAAACTTTGAAATAGGACAGGTATTTTTTGTGTTCATTTTTTCATGAAGCAAATAAAATGAGAGAAAGAAAGAAAAGCAGATGTAAACAGGATTAAAACCCTGTTTTTGAAGACCCTGTGTAAGTTTTGAATTAAGTTCTTTAGGTTGCAATCCACAAAATAAAGAGACATTACCTTTGAAATACCTTGATAATTTAATACCTTTGAAATTTCATTTCAAATCACGTGTACACAACCACACTCAGGAAGACAAAGAAAACAAACTTAATAATTACAACAGAATATGAGGAACAATTAAGAGACACTTTGGCAGCGATAAGGACTTGGAAGCAAAATTGAAACTTCACAATACACCTGCTAAACTTAGAATCATGAATGGCTCTAAAACATGGTTAATGAAAGAGAGACAAACAAAAACTATAGGCAGCACATATGAGATTTTTAAGACACCTCATGGGAATCACAAGACAAGACAGACTAAGAAATAATGACATCAGAAAGATATTGAAAACCAAATGTTTAGTAGAAGAGATAGAACAAAGGTAGTTGAATGAAAGGTAGTCTATGAAATAGTTTCAAAGGAAATGGAAAAATCATTTACAGGGAATGAACAACAACAGATTTCCAAAATTAATTTGAAAGTTGAAACCAACAGGGATCAGATAGAGAGACCACTAAAGAGGTGGCAACAGCAGGAACACTTGCAAGACTAAGAATCTACCAAGAATACCGTAAGAAATCAATAGAAACAGGCTGTAGAGAGAGTAAGACTCATTTCTGGTTCGTTCATGATGATAATGATTTATACACAACAGGGCCGATATGATGCAAATAGTTCACGGCCCGACCGTTTGACACTGGGTTTGAGTATGAAGCAATTTTTCCATTTAAAACAAAGATTTTCAAGTGGGAAATATTTGTGTAGACTGGTATAATAATAATAATGACATTATGAATGTAGCAAGAAAATACAAAATAAGAAATAAGGAAGAAATGTAAAACCACAAATATCATTGTAGTCTTGATGAAACATCACAAGAAACAGGAAGACCAAATAAAGAAAGTGGGATGAACTCATTTACCAACACAGGCCTTGAAATTCCAACCATGAGGATGAAGAATGAAGCTATCCAAGAAAGAGATGGGAATACCAGGAAGTTCTTAGGGTATAGATGCTTTTGGATCAAATGACCAGACCATTGGGTCTTTCCTCAAATAGCCTTCAATGACAAATAAAATACAATTTTCTTTATCAATTAGAATCAAGAGAAAATTAATTAAAATACAAATTCTAACTTTCCTTACCCACAGTTTTTAAATTTTTGGCTTGATACATTTTCATGAACATTTTTGGAACACTAGATGGCAGCAGGCCAGTGTGCTGCAGGACAATTAGCTCAGAGGACAAGATAGCCCTAACTCTACATGACGTTTGCAAAAGAGAAATGTTGGTCAGACTACAAAATTAAATTTCTGATTTGGAAAGAAAACAGATAAGGGAGGCAGATAGAATGAGAAAGAAAAAAATAGTTCTTCCCTTTTTTGATTCAAAGCTATGAACTTGCCTCTGATTGAACTTTTTTAAAAATTGTTTCTGTATATTTTATAAATACTTCAAGAAAATATAATAATCTTAATACATAAAAATGGATATATGGATATCCATGTTTTTCTCAAAAGAAGTTTAGACTTCAGAAGAGGCAGAGCAATGCTTAACTACTTAACAGATGATTGTGAAAAATATCTGGGCAACACTAGTATAAAATAAAATAACAAAAGTGATGTGAATTTTGCATTTGGATCAGTTGAAATGAAACAAATCATCTACTGTTAATGACAACACTTTATAATACTTGTGTATGTACACAATGTATTAATATGAAAAATCTGTACTTTCAAGATCTTATGCTAAACTAATTGTTAAATATAAAAAGTGAAAACAAACATCCAATGCCAGCCCTAGCTGAAAAAGTTCAGATTAACAACTATTACCTGCTACAGAAGTGCAAGTGATGGCATATAATATAGGATGAAATAAGAGATGAAAATAAAATGTTTGTAATGATTCATTTCTTCACCTTGTGTTCAATGTACATAAAATAAGATTATTAAATAATGTCTAATATACATTTTCTTTCTCAATCACTTACATTATCTGAATTTAGAATGATTTTAAAAAAGGTGACAATGAAATAAGTGAGATATTAAACTATGAGTCATCATTTTATTCTTACCATGATTTGTAAGAGGTAATTCTTTGACTGTAACTATTTGATCAGGTACTTCAGCTTTATGTAAATGATTCACACCATACAATCTCAAATCTTGTATTTCCTCTTTATCTCTCCAAATTACAGCAAGAGCCAGAATATTTTTCTCTTGGTGCCATACACAGCTGCATTTTTCAACATCTACATGTCTGCTAAGGACCATTTCCACATTACCCAAACAAACACGATGGCCCCAACGCTTTATTATTCTATTTTTACGGCCAAGAAACAATATATGATTACAGGAATTATCAATCTGTAAAAATAAAAACTTTGGCTTACATACATCATGACTTAAATATTTTTAATAAAAAGAAACAAATACATATTAATTTTTTTAAGAGGTAGATAATAATCAACTACATGCATAACTGCTACGCAACCACAACTGATGTAACTAATGTCAATGGACTGTGTGATATCCTATGCTACCTCTTTTAATGTTATGTCATTACTCTTATTTAGACCTTCACAATGTATTACCAGTACTAGTCCTTGTGACATCCTGTCATCTGTATTTGATGGTACATTTTTGTTTCATAAAAAAGTAGCCAAAGCCAGAATTTTAAAAGAAGAATCACAATTTAATTTCTTGTTTGTTTTAATGATGACAATAATCTAGTTTTAAAAGGTCAAAAGAAACAATGTTACTCATTTATTTGCAAATTATGATGATAGGACATTTTCTACCAGATCAATTGATACCTTGTGTTTGCTCATACAATTACTAACAACCAATATTCATTTATGAATATGAATAATTTCCTATTCTATGTACACAAATTATACAATTCAACACAAAATATGCAAAACAAGGAATTTAAACAAAAAAATTGAAGTAGCAGTTTCAGGTCACCATTAATATTTTGCTCACCTTTACAAAGTCACCAGTAGCTCTGAATACTGGAGGAGTCAGATTTTCTAAGACTTCTTCATTTATTAGGCATATTCTTTCTGAACTACCTACAACATAGTTACATTATTAAAAACTAAATATCTTAGAACATCATACAAATCTATTTTGATTAAGAAAATCCAACATACCAATAAATAACTCTCCCTCCCCATTAAAAATTTGATCTCCACGGTCATTTTTAACTTGTAAGACAGTTTTGGAAAGAGGTGATCCCAAAGGAACAGCCAAAGTGGTTTGTTTGTTTACTTCAGAATGGCCAAATTGATTCCAATTTTGGGAGAAGTCGACTCTTTCTATTGTAGCCCAACATGATACTTCAGTAACACCATATACATTGTAAATTTCTGTTAAATTATCTGTTGCTTTCCAACTATTTAACACTGATATGTTTGGACATGGTTCACCTCCAAAAAGAAGTTTCTGTAAAATTTTCAAACAAATAAAAAAGCTTTGAAAAAAGGAAAAGAAAACATCAAAACACATTACACAACAACTAATGAGAATTTATCTTGCTATGTACACCAACTAACTATGCACACACGTGCAGCCAGATAATATTATCAGTGTTAGTGCACATTCATTTTCATTTCCCCTCTACCACTGTAGTTTCTTGTAGAGGGGTGTACAAGACATTGTTCACAAATTAAAATATAGATAATTTTTACCTTCAATGTTGTTTTTCTGCTAAGTATTCTTGTCTGTATGTCATATGCATTCCACCTTGAAAATGAAGACGGAGTAATCTGAAGGATACTTGTGCCAGAATAAAAGTCATGATTGGTAGGAAATAATATTTCAAGAAGAACTGATGGTGATACTTTCACCTTTGAAGGCACTATCAATACTGCAGCTCCACAAGATAAGGGTACAAACAGTTCAACAACACTAGGATCAAATGTTAATGGAGATGCCAAATATATAATGTCACTGTGATGTATATGGAGCAAATCTCTACAAAATAAAGGCTTTCTTTAACGAAATTACTTAACACACATTTCAGAGTACAAATTACAAAATTAATGTACCTTATATCTAAAATGTTTGGCACTATACTCTGGTGAGGAACATATATAATTTTGGGTTCTCCGGTACTTCCAGAGGTTTGGATAGCATATGCCAAATGAAAAGTGGGTGAATGAGGAATAATTTTATTATCTGGAGCAGAATTTTTATTGATATGCCAAATACTATATGAATTATTGTGTAAATAAATAGTTTTAATTTTAGTTCCATTATTATGCAAAACATTTTTTGCATGAATACAACTACTTTCTGTAAACACCCACTTAACACATAAATATCTCAGAAGATAGAGAACTTTGTCTTGAGAATCTTGAATATCAATACATGTGAATGGCAAGTTGTTATGTAATATCCTGAAAATAAATAAAATAAGCAAAACAGTTAAATAATCTATAACCTAACAATGTTCTTTCCATTTACAATTTAAAATATACCCCAATATTAAAGAAGGAAAGGAGAGGTCCTGTTCCACAAATAGTCCCACAAAACCGTCCGCACATAATTCGCGAAGACACAGAGAAACTCTTCGACTCTCAATAGCAATTTGGTTGTATGTAGCTTTTTTCACATTTTTACCATCATTAAAAATGGCTGCACAATTTTCGCCAAATTGCTTCACATTTACATCAAATATTTTGCACAAGGATTCGCTTGCCATGTAAATAAAACGATGTTCCCTTTAACCTATAAGATAAAAATTTTCACGTTTGCTCACTCCAAGTGGACCGCCATACATTTTCGTCAGAAAAGCCAACCTGATACGAACGAAACTATTCTGGAATTCATTGGATGAAACATATTTCCTACTTATTGCTTTGTGATTAATATGTAACTACTACGTGTAAAATGATAAATGTAATCGTTAAAGTTAGTGAAAACTAATTTATGTCAACATTTAAAAATTTTTTTTCAATTATTTATTTTGAATACTGGTAACAGTGAAATGCTCAGATAGTCCAAGAATCTTAGAATAATGAGAACATTAGCAGACAGAAGCGCTTTCTGGTGAGGTATAGTCAAAGCTTTTCTAAGTTTCCCGCAGCCGTAGGTACTTGTATTTTAGTGACGCATGGTATAATTATTCAACAAAATGGCAAAATTTGATCTAACATCTACCATAGGGCAGTATTTAGATAGGCATTTGGTATTCCCTCTTCTGGAATTTCTATCTCCAAAACAGGTATGTTCTCCAGGTTCACGTAAACATTGTGCAATATGTGAAGCCATGCATTGAAATTACTCACATAACCTCTTTCATCCTTTAGATATACGATGAAAATGAACTGTTACAAGCGAAGTTGGATATTCTCAACAAGACCAATATGGTGGATTATTCAATAGATATTAGAAAACTATTATATCCTCATCAAGAAATCTCAGAGGTAATTGTTTGTGTCACTTGACCACCATACTGAAACAAACATTGTACCTGAAGGGAATATTATGTCTTAACAATTAAATTTCTGAATCATAGGAATTGAAAGACCGTCGTGAACAAGTTGTCCTTCAACTTAATGCTATGAAGGAGAAAGTTGGTCCTATTGTGTCTCTGTTGAGAAATGATGAAGCCATGAAAAACGTTGAACACATGCGAGATCCTAAAGCTCTTCTAAATCATCTGATTAAAGAATATAATGTAATTGTATTTTTAAACTAATCATTTTATAATTAATAAAAAAAAATGGATAGAATTCATATATAATCCATTTATATTCACATATCATACTATTTTTATTTGCAGATAACCATGGACATGATTGAAAACCTTTACAAGTTAGCAAAATATTATTATGAGTGTGGTAATTATTCTCTTACTAACTCATATTTGTACTTTTATTCCCTAGTAATGCCATCATCTGATAAAGTAAGTGTGATATGAAAAATACTTTGAGAAAAATTGCAACATATTTACCTCCACGGGTTTTTGTTAATGAAGTTTTTGGTTGTTTCTTACAGAACTATTTAAATGTATTGTGGGGAAAGTCAGCTTCAGAAATCCTTGTTCAGAACTGGGAAACTGCTCTTGAAGATTTGAACAAACTACGTGAATTCATTGACGGTAATTCATTTTTTGGCTCGTCTCTTCAGCTGTTGCAACAACGGACCTGGCTTATCCATTGGAGCCTGTTTGTATTTTTCAACCACCCAAAAGGACGTGATCATATTATTGATTTGTTTCTCTACAGACCACAGTAAGATATTTTAAAATTTGCTGAACCATTATTTTTGAACAATAACCAAAAGCTTAATGAAGTGAGGGACTTTTGGATAAATTCATGTACATACAATTTTCTGCTTTTAGTTATTTGAATGCTATTCAAACCATGTGTCCACATATTTTGCGATATTTGGCTACTGCTGTAATTGTGAACAGAAACCGGCGAAGTGCTTTAAAAGATTTGGTTAAAGTTATACAACAGGTAAGACACAAAAACAAATGAAATTTATTGCACTATTGTGTTTTGAAATAAATAAATACATAAGTAATTGTGATTCAGCCGTATCTTCTTAATAATTTACTGTAAAGGTTTCTTGTTTCAGGAATCTTACACGTATCGTGATCCCATCACTGAGTTTTTGGAACATCTTTATGTAAATTTTGACTTTGATGGGGCTCGACAGAAATTGCACGAATGTCAAACTGTTATTTTTAATGACTTTTTTCTGATTGCGTGTTTGGATGAATTCATTGATAATGCAAGACTGATGATTTTTGAAACTTTTTGCCGTATCCACCAGTGCATCAGTATAGCGTTAGTATCTCCAGTAATTTGTTTCTGTTGATGTTAAGGAAGTGTGCAATATCATACTGGAAGTAAATTAAAGCATTTCATTTTGTCTTGAAGCATGTTTTAACTTTTATGATTTACTTTTGTTTAGTGCTCTGACAAGCAATTGAGTGTTACTATATAATTTGGAAAAATCTTTGTTTTCTTGATTTTTATTTATTATGAAATATGCCAGTGTTGTCAGAGGGGTTATTCCTGCTCATTGTTTGCCTTTGCATCTGTGTGAGAATTAATAACATACTGTTCAGAAATGTTTTAAACTGAGAAAATTTAAAAATCTTTACAATTGATCTTTTTCTACTTTCTGAATTAAATGGTATATAAATAGATTAGATTAAGAGTGTTTTTTTTTAATTTAATATTAATATTAACTTTTGGGGGTTTCAGAATGCTTGCAGAAAAATTGAATATGAATCAGGAAGAGGCTGAATGTTGGATAGTAAATTTAATCAGAAGTGCAAGACTTGATGCGAAAATTGATTTGAAGCTGGGACATGTTGTTATGGGTACACAACCACTATCCCCGTACCAACAATTGGTGGAAAAGATTGATACACTGTCTGGACGCTCAGAGGACTTGCAACATCTTATTGAACGTAAATTGAAAGCACGAGCACAAGATGTAAGTGTTAATGGAAGTTGCTATGTAATTTTTTTTTTTTGTGAATATGGTTTCATCACTAATTTCTTTTGATGCAGATACGTTGGGGAGCTCAAGAATTTTGAAGATTCAGTGTTAAATACATCTTTTCAACTTTTGTAATGGCATCCTCTAATTTGAACAATAAAATCTTTGCCAACCACAGGAGAGCTTTTTCTTTTTCTGTGAAGAGTTTAGTATTAAAAATGTATCCTTGAAGTTAACACTGATTCAGAATTCCAATTTTTGTTGTAAATGCAGTGTATGGTAATGACTATATACAAAGCTGAAGAAATTAAGCAATCCATTATCCAGAACAATTTAATGGAAATTGCAATGTACATAACTGTTTTGTATTACAAGTTACATAAATATCAGAGTGCAGTAACTTATTTATGTGGAAATGGTAATATTTGTGTAAAGAATCAGTCTGAAAGTACATAATAAATTTAACTATTCAGAAATTTGTATACGTTTATGTGACTAAATACTCACTTTATAGTATGAAACAACTTGAAATATGAGAAATCAAAATGGTTTTGTCATGTCGCAAGTCTGAAATATGTTGATAACGATGGATAAGAGAAAGGTAGGAAAAAATGAACTTGGAACACATTGAATTACGTTAAAACAAATATGCAGATGGTAGCTAATGATATTTCTAAAGTTAAAACATTTTCTTAAATATTTTGTTCCTCGAGTTCAGTTTCATTCAGGCAAGGCAAAGGTCTAATAATAATTCAAAATTATTTGTGAATATTTTAAATGTTATTTCTCCATGATAGTATAGATATACAGGATTTTTAGATACCACTATGAGTGTAAGTAATGTCATGTCTTTAGACAACTGAAAAATGGGAAGACACTGAATAAGATACTTTTTTTTGCCTGAAGTCTTGACACTGGGCAAAAAAGTATTTCTGTACAAAAATTATGCTTTTTTCCAATAAGCAGTCTAAGAGATGAAACAAATAATTTGTAAATTAATCATTTTTGTAGAATTGTAGAAAATATACTTCCTGAGTAAAACTAGTAAAGTAAGCTCAATCTTCGTTTTTAATTTGGTCTTTGTAAAAAACCACCCTCAATATCAATGTGAAAAAAATCACACTTAAATGAAAATAACATTTACTTTTATTCCAATTTGATTTAAATTTACAAATTGAGAACATTCAGTACAGCCTTTACTGACCATTGTTCCTTGAACAGATGCATTATACTAATTCTACAAAACTACAAGAAATGGTTGACTTGTGTGCGCTAGTGATTTTGAATGTTTGGAGGGCAATGACAGTAGTAAATGATCATGGAGTGAATGATAAAGGAAATTAATTCTGGATTAAGACATTGATAAAATTGCGTTAGACAACTATAGATAAATTTCTTCTCTTCGAAACATAAGAGCATTGAAGGCAAAGGAAAATGTATTAGCTGTTGTGCTGTTTTTAAAAAGACTGCAAGAGGTGTCAGAAAGCAACAAATTTAAAAGAATAGACAAATTATATTGAGTAAATACATTATGTATGTGCATATACCACTACTGTGTATTTCAAAACCAAACGTTTTAGAATGTTAATATATACCATGAACACCTTTGTTAATAACTGTATCTTTGCCATTTCTGCTTTTAAATCTCATCTCTTACTTTGGAACTTAGCCCAGTATCTTGCCAAGATATCAGTTTGCTGACTATTATGTATTCATGAAGAAAGTAATTTTTTAAAATTTTATTTCTTTCTTATTCTTATCTAGTATTTGAATACCCTTTGAAGCAATGTATATCTGATTACCAATATCCATAAACTTTTTATCAAAGAAAGTTACATTTTTTGTGAATTATTTGAAATTTATTTTAATTTACATGGCGTAATTTTGAAACCAAAACTTATTTGAGAATTTTTTTATTTATCCAAATAGCATTTTATTATTGGAGACTGGAATTTCATGCGATTATGTTATTTGTGCATGATCATATTTTCTTGTAATTCAATAAGATAGAGTATGTCCAAAGCATAATTATTAAATATAAGACAAAGGTTACACATTTTTTAGTTTTAATCAAATACAAACAATGTGACAAGAAATTCCATATAAAGAATTTTTTGTATTGTCAATATTAGAGGATGAATTGTTTGTAGTGATTCTTGAACAGGCATCCGTTCTGGTTGATGTAATTAAGATGTTGCCAGTACAGAGTGGAGGTGAGGTGATGAGATTTGAGTTAATAACAGAAGGCAAATGGATTGATAAATCAAAGGAGACTTCAAAGCAGTGTCATTGAATTGAGAACATTATCATTAAGGAATGATTTGAGAAACATGCAAAGGAAAAATGTTGATTGTGAATCAACCTTGCAGAACAAAAAGAGGATATAAATTTATGTGAGACTTTTCCTTCTGGTGAAGGGGTGATACTCAAGACCTTGTGGTAAAGAGAACTAATGTGAGAGAAAAATTTAGTGATTTTCTCAATGTAATTTCTTTAAATATCTTTAAATTCAGTTTTTTTCAGTTATTGGGATTGAAATACATTGGTTATATATTCAGTTCAGTTTATTAAAATAACAATATGATTTTAATAGTTTTGAAATGTGAGAGAAACAGTTAACAAGGAGACCAATTTCCATATTTACCGGAATACAAACCTAAGCTTTAAACATGAAAGGGCCAATGAAAACTAAAGAATTTACCATTTAGTGAAAATAAAATTGCATTGCTGACAAGTATGATAAAACATTTCCCCAATTATCTTGTTCATTAACACCATCTTAATCAGGATTTTTGTCACTACCATCTTTATCTTCAAATTTATCCGATTTTTTCTTTTTATTTCTCCTCCCATTTGCGTCGTTCTCTGACTTGGGGTTCCTAAAAGTTTAGGGCTGTGCATCTGATGACATCTAAGAACATTCTCTTCGCTTATAAATCATTATTTTCTTCCTGTCGCGCTCTTGTTCGTGGCATCTGATTCTTTAACAGTTCTTAAACATTTTTTAACAGAATATACTTCAAAGTCGGATCGTATATTGTTCACGCGGTTAAGTTGTGATCTTCGAACTCGCAGGTCGATTTCGTTTTGCGCTTCACGACGAAGAAAACTGCAAATTTCCATGTTGGAGAAGTTTTTGCAACGATTTTTTTTGCCATTGCGTAGTTTTAGCTAAGTGATTTTTACTTTCTCGCTACCGTTTAAGCAGTAGTACAGCATGTAATGCTGTGCAAAAAACTGCGAATTTTCAGCAAACATCTCTAATTGCCGGCCCTTAAAACGAAAAAGTGTACAAATCCAGCTATTAAATTTAGAAAAAGTCCGCTAACAAGTGGTGTAGCCAGAGTTCATGTTTTGTGGGTCCTTGATACCGAAAAATCGATTGACGGCAAAACGGTCGTGCGTCCGCCCGTCCGTCCGTCCGTCCTTCCGTCTGCCCGTCCACAAATTTCGCTTTTACAGTAAGGCTTAAACGCCATTTTCTTAAAATCGGTCTCCAATGTTTTGTTGTTAACGGAAATTTCCTATTAGGCCGAGGTTTTACTGTTATATAAGGTTTTTAAAATAATATTTCTGTTCTACTATTGGGAAACCGAAAAATTGAGAAATTAAAAAAAAAGTACTTTTGAGGGGCGATGAGGCAGTTGGCAAGAGGATGGGGCAAGATCGAAAAGCGAGACCAGGTCAAAGAAATTAGAAAACTAATTAGTACAAGAAAGTCTGCCTATCTGCAGCACTACTAGTTTTTTTTTACACTTTCATCTCTCGCGAAATTAGATTTACGCTCGTCGGGCGTCGATCCGAGAATCCGCTCGGCCTCACCGATGTCGCTGCCGAGATTTTGTGACTCGGTTCAGTTCACCGAGAAACAAAATCTCGGCAACGACTTTTTCTGGTTGAGTTTCACTTATTTATAAAGTATCTTCCGTAAATAATGTAACATCAAAGAGGGAGGGGGAATTGACCGAACTTCGTGAACTTCATTTCGGAGTGGGCGTTATTGAGGTGCTGGAGGATGTCAGCATACCGAAGCCACCGTTTTTGTCAAAGTGGGGGTGTCTCGCTTTAAAAATACCTAGCCCTTTCACAAATCAAACCAAACTACCATCAATATCACAATCTGGAAACTCTTCAAGCATATCCAAGTCATATCCAGGAAGATCTCAACTACCATTCCTTCCATCACATAAATAGAAAAATCACTCGCTCATTACAACTACCAAATTAAAATTAGCGAATAGAAAAGCAGCCGCCTTTACCACACCTAACCAGCTTAATGGCATTCTCTCAACAAAACGACTGTCAGAAAGGCGCTATTACAGACGGTATGGGGACGAAGAAAAAAAAAACTACTGAAATAACTTCGAACAAATCAAACAGCACGAGAAACGTACGAGTAAGTACGACTAACTCATCTACGATTCCAGCAGTCCCTGAACATCAAGGTCATCAAGACGGTACAATCGCAAACAACCGTTATTTCACGATTACAAACTGCTTCCAACTGCCTCATATTCGGCCCCAAAGTATTGAATTGAATTCAATTAATGCCTTATTTTACGTGACGAGACTCAGGCCATGAGGCCTGCTCTTCCGTCTGACCACGCAAATTTCGCATGTTTCACAAAAGTATAACTAACACCTTCACTCAATCCATGACTGTGAACTTCCAACCTCGGAGCTTTCCTGTCCCAGGCCATGCCATCCATAAGAGTACTTTAAAGCTACACCCATTCTCTCATCTCTTTGATAATCTTGATACCATTTCAGACTTGGAAATCTGACAAGTCATTAAAACCTTACGGGAAAAGAAAGCCCCGGACCTCGATGGAATTCTACCGTTTCAAATTCTTCACCAAATGCTATAGACCTCACCAAAGTCCTCAACTCCAGCTTATCACTTTCCTATTTCTCAACCATATGGAACACCCCCTTGTAACCATGGTTCGAACCCTGGAAAGAATCATCGGCTACCATAAAGCTATAACCCCAAAAGTTTCCTGTCTATCCTCGGTAAATGTTTCGAAAATATTCTTCTTAATTAACCTTAGAATCAACTCCGTATTAAATTTTGTCATTCATAGTGGACAATTTGGCTTTCGTGAAGTCCGCTCCACTGTCCTTCAAACCTTAAGAATAGCTCTATCCATTGGAACCCCTCTTCAATCTACTAAATCAGATATTCCGGCATTCTTCAGTGATTTTCTCTCTCTCTCTCTCTCTCTCTCTCTCTCTCTCTCTCTCTCTCTCTCTCTCTCTCTCGACTTATTGCCCCTAGCATCCTACTCTTCAAACTTAAAATCTATGTCCCACGTCAACTAGCGTAACTTTTTCCTGAAAGTCTTTGACTAACATTATGGGCATGTATAATGAATTCAGAACCATGTGTAATGAATCAAGACACCAGGATGTTAAGTTTTGTATTTTATGTTTCGTGGATGCTTTTTATAAAAAAAATGAAATTGCTATGGAGTTTACCGCCCAATTATGGCAACTTACCTAGTATTGAAATCAAAATATCAAAAGAGAGCAAGAACTGTATAAGTGTCTACGTGATACACATTACAAATGATTGTAAACAAGTATTGTAAACATGATTGTAAACGTCTGTCATGTAAATCTTAAAGACGTGATTTTGAAGAAATTACATTTGGCAAATTACTTTCAAAAATGTACACGCATTAATTAAAGAACTAATTATGAATAACAAATTTCATTTGCAGATAAATCTCCATCTTCAATAATACAGTTGTAGAATAAGATCCAAAACATTTCGACCTTACGTCTTTTTCGAAAATCCAAATTTAATTGTAAAAATCGGGTATAAGCCAACTTTATTAGGGTATTTCACTCCATTCTGGCAAACGATTTAAAGAAAAAAATGTAGCCATCTTTGAGGAAATTTTGAAAATAATGAAGGTGTTTTAGGTAAATTGCTCCAAAATGTTCAAGACTATTTTTTCAAAATCGTAGGGTTTAGAGTCGGGTCAGATCGATCGAGGTATATTAATTTTGGGAAAAAGCCCTACGAAGGGTTTAGGTGCTAGGATTGTCCACAGTCTGATGGATAAATATTTTGAGGACATCATACATTCCACAATTGTGGCCCCCAAAACGTGAATTCCCATTAAAATCTCATTTTTTCTATACCTCGTATGTTATTCAGCATGTAGTATCTATACGAGAAAGTAAATGTCATAGCCCATTTTAACCTTCGTATCAACAGATCCTTCTACAAATCCATTACCTCAACACCAGTGCCCACGATCCTACTACCCTCCACATCCTATCCATAGTACTCCAAAAACAATGAAAACGTAAACAATTCTACAGAACACAAAGACAACAGGACATCAATAATATTCTTACAATTACATATTTTAAGACGTAGTGAACAAATGCGAAAAACAAAAACTACACGAATGACTAAAAGACGCCATGCCCAAGCGTCTCCGGAACTTTGGTGACTAATAGATGAAGTAAAGAATAATAAAATCATAATTTCCAGGCTTCACTGTATCCGTTTCTAACCCCTCCCTCACGTGCGGCACTGTTGTAAGGATGGCACTCAATTACACGAAGAACTTCCTGCACTCTCACTATCCATTTTTTTCACTGCCACACTCGACACAACATCAATCACAACACCCTTCTAATCAAAATCGGTCCCCATATTCCTACTTTTCTTCAATACCCTTATGCAGCTACCTTTCCAATCGATCTTTGCGACTCCTCTCCTTTAGGTCTTCTCGCCGGTGGTCTCTCAGGGTGCAGTGCATGACAGGATTTTTAAATAGTAGGTATGTACGTTTTCACATCAAAATCCACAAAATTGCAGGGTCGCAAATTGCAGTAAATCAACGACAAAATATGAATTTTGTGAATTATAATAAAAAATAAACAAACAAATACGTACGATTGAGAAAAAGTTGTGTACGTATGGAATAAGGAAACATTTTGAAAAAAGAAAATGTATGCAGAAAACGGTAATCAGCATAAATGCATACTTGTGTAAATAACTACGAAATTCAATTACTTTGAAATGAGCCCCAAAATAGGTGTCTCTTTGTTATGCGGATTCAGGAAAAACAAATGAACGATACTGCTTTTAAGACAGAGTAGAGATATATCTCTTCTCTGTGTTTTAAGATGTTAAGGAATTCAAAATGATGTAGTTCTTTTGTTCTCATGCTGGTCAGTTTAACAATATATTTGGCATTTGTCCCAAGAAAGCAACTGTTAATATTAGATAGATTACTCTGCGATGTTTCCTCTTGTTCTCTTCAAGTTCGATATTTAATGATTATGGCCCAAGTTAGAATGTTATACTCAGAAAAATGCTGAAATGCAAGTTATTTAACGAGAAACGAGTTCCACGGTTGTATAATGTAAATGTGAAAATACTCTTCTTGTCTGTAGTGTTTCTCATATGCTTTACTGTTGCTTTAAACTTGAGACAGACTTCAACTCAAAAACCGGTCAATTTCAGGCCAATTATAGGTATTTCATTTTACATGAAGTACATTTCATGGGATTTAATAAATGTAGTTTTACTTTAAGTAATCCAGGATTAGTGAAAATATTGTAGTTTTTATAGAATCTTTCTAATTTGAGTAATATTTACAGGTATTCTTGCGCAGGAATTATCTAATGATCTGTCGGAAACACTCAATGCTACATATAAAAGTTATATTGCAGCTTCATACGTGAAATATATAGAAGGGGCTGGCGCACGGGTGATTCCTATCTTGTAAAACAGTGCTTTTCGTAATTTTTAATGCTTGAATTGTGATAGCTTATTAAAAGAATTTGTCTCTATTTGAGTTCTATTTCTTTCTAGTATCAACAAAGATCAAAAGTATTATAAGAAGTTAATGTATTCCATAAACGGGTATGTTAATGTCCTGATGTATTCTACTTATAAGTAAATTTAATACAAATCTTCACGACAATATCAATGCTTCTTAATATTGTCTCCACTAATTCGGTTTTGTAGAGTGTTATTCCCAGGCGGAGCGGTTCATTTTGAAGATCCTGATGGCTATGCTGCTGTTGGAGCAATTATTTATAAACATGCCTTAAAAATGAATGATAATGGTGATTATTTTCCTTTGTGGGGCACATGTCTTGGTTTCGAGCTGATGACTTATCTTGCGGCAAATCAGAAAGAACACAGGTGTGATTGCTGGTCGAACAATCAAGCACTGCCATTAGAATTTACAAAAGGTAATTTTCCCTTCGCACCATGCATAATTTTACTGTAATCTGTAAGAATAATAAATATATAATTTTTTGTAATGTAGATTTTTTAAGCAGCAAATTGTTTGGATCTGCACCCAAGGAAATCATTGAAATATTAAGTTCACAACCAGTCACACCCAATTTCCATCAATACTGTGTCACCGAAACGGTACGTTTATGAAATATTTTTGTAATAAAAAATCGAATGTCTATTCAAATATTACCATTATTTTCAGAACATGAGTAAGTACAATTTACTTGATGAATGGCATATTCTAGCAAATAATCGGGATTTAGACGGTTTGGAATTTGTTTCTGCAATTGAGTCAAGAAGCTATCCTTTCTATTCACTTATGGCTCATCCAGAAAAGAATGGATACGAATGGAAGATAAACAAAAACAATCCCCACACTGCTGATGCTATTAAGATAATGCAGTACTTTGCCAACTTCTTTGTAAATGAAGGTAAATGCCTTATAAGAACGCATAACCTGTACCCTCTTTCCAATAACAAATCGGAACTATTTGATCTGTGCGAATATTCCGTACTTTTTAAATCATTGTTTTAAAAGTGAAAAGATTTGCATGCTGGAAGCCTAATTCAAATGCTCCCTCTTCAATTGTGGGCTGCAGTACGTTTATGATAGTCCGGATAGTTGCGTGAGTAACCATTCTAAAAGTTGTGATCAAATTACACAGAATATCAAACTGTCAATTTAATTTTACACACATTTCTTCATTACACACATTTGTTTTTGAGAACCCGTGCCACAGAGTGGGACTGTCCAGAAGATTTGAATTTCCTTAACACCGTAGACGGTTCAAAAAGGTGTATTTTTGTAGCTAGTAATATAACATAACTCGGACCTCGGAGTACCGTAATTCGGATCTCGAAGTAACATAACTCGGGCCACTCCTGTCTCATCGCTTATTTACCCCAATGTTCTCCAAATGTTCCCTACACATTTTCCGGATATTTCTGGCGCGTTCCCCTGCATGGTCCCCAGGGTTTACCGCATGTACTGGAAGTGAACTTTAAAAATATATTTTAACGTTTTTAATACAATACTTTCAGAAAAATTACGACGGTGAAAATACACATGTAGTTTCTTTGACAAAAGAAACAGGAAATTATGGATAGCTAGCGTTCTCAAAAGAATCCTGAATCCAAAAAAATAAAAAATAATGACCCTAGATCTCATTTTTGGTAAAAATTGCAATAGCTGAAATAAAGTTTTAAAATCATCGTTTTAAAGGTGATAAAAGCTTAAAACCCAACTACGAACTTTCTGCAGAACCCGTCTGCCTACTTCTTCCCATGTATCATAATCGGCGAATTTCTGGAAAGGAATTCCTTATTTAACAGTCGAACCCTTACGTGTTTTGTGATGATGGTTTATTATAAATGATACAAAATCGTCTTCTTTTCTTATCATTTTATATTTAAAGGATATAATTGTGAAGCATTGTTACCTCTCAAACCAACTTTTATGAGCTTAGATGCAACGTATATAGACGACGAAAGAAATTAGTTTTATTCCAAATGATTCCCGTTTTCATTCTTTGAAAATCATAATTATATCCATTTTATTTAGGAAGTAGGGAATAAATATGTGCACTAGTGCTTGTTGTTTCTAATTGTGTTTATGTCCTGTTTTCCAGCTCGTAAAAGCACACACACATTTGCTTCAAGTAAAGAAGAAAGGAGTTCTCTCATTTATAATTATGCACCTACTTATACAGGAGATAGATTAGTGTTCGAACAGTGTTATTTTTTTACTTAACGTAACCAACAGTTCTATTTTCTCATTATTGTAGTAGTAACATTGCGTAAGCGTATACACTTAATGTTTTTCTCTTATTAAAGAATTATATTTTTTTATTTCAATGATAATAACTTGTGTTATTCTATTAGACTTGTTGCAATATAAAATACTTCATCTTCCAAAGGAAGCATGTGAACTACACATTAAGAAAACATAATTTATGAATTATCTGTTATTTATGAATTATCTGTTATTAAATATTTATACCTAATAATTATTTGTTTTAAAAGTATAATTTTAATAAATAATACCTTCTTTATTTATTCAGAAATTTGATTATGGATTACTATTGGTGAATTTTAATGAACTATGAATTATCATACATTAATAATAGTATATTATGCAACTAGTTTATAAGCTTTTATATTATTAAGGTTTGTTTATAAGTACATGTTTTGAAAAGGACTACGTTAGATGAACTTTCTTAAATTTAAATTAGTGCAATACAGCAACATTATAAACGAGTTGCATACATTGTATTTTTAAAACAAAATTTTAATTTTATAAGACAATTGAAGTTAATTTTTTGAAACAATTTTATTTCGAGAACGGTTTTTGACATCTGTTCGAATGACTGTGGCTAGCTGCGCAGTTTTGCGCCCCCCCCCCAAACGATTCTGTCGGCTGTGCAGTTTGTCGTCCTCGCCGTACGATTCGTATGCTGCGATTGACTGAATGTATGATGACACAATAATTGCGGCTAATACATCGTAATCTTTGTCATAAAATGCCATTTTATGAACGATTCTTACACCGAAAAAGGTCGTTTGAACTTTTTCGTACTGGAATTCAAGAAGAAATCAACATTTGTTTGTGTTGAACATAATTAATGTTTATCAGAAAACGGAACTGACTAACGATTATTACATAATGCTTAGTTAATGTTTAAAATACAGGTTTGACAACACGGTGTACTTAACACTAGAACAATTACTTCTTAATCTTTTCTATTACATAGATGTCTTTTAGGGAAGGGCGCACCTGCCTTTTAATATTTACAAACACATCCAGTAGTTTTATTATATTTATTTTTAACTAAAGCCATTTGTGTGGGAAGGTGTTCCCGAACTGGTGGATGTGGGTGTACCGGTTTCCATCGTCTCCGTGGCTGCTCTCATTTTCTAATATCAGAGTACATTATTGAATTCATGGAGAGCTGCGACGTATGAAAATTTGTAATCTGACTTGTACATCTTGTAAATCTAATTACAATTACGTGCCTTAAAGTAGAATCCCGGGGGGGGGCACTTTGTTTGATTTCCCAAATTCTACATGCTCGAGTCCTCTCAAACTCCACCCTCAAATCCAGAGCTCAAGAAACCGTGCACAGGTTGCACCGTTCTCCTCCAGAGCACGCCACAGCTTTTTTAAACTGTTTTTTGACGTTAAATATGTAACTAATAAATAAAAAAACTCCATTTCACCGTCAAATTACTCATGCCACTGTTCCTATGGCTTGTCACACATAATAAAGAGACTTATTACCTCAAAGCTTGAATATGTTTTATTAGCCTAAAAGAAAATGAATTATTTTACTCGAATCAACTAACTCTCTAGAATGGAACAACGCCGAAGGAGAAACCTCGCATTAAATCGGTCATTATTTATTGGTAACTTGCGAGACAATTTCTTCCGCCAGCTTGTAGGGCACTTCGTCGTCGGTGACCCGCGCCACCGCGTCCTCCGCCATCATGTACGGGACGTCCTTCTTGGTGACGTGCGTGAAGATCTCCTCGGCCACCATGTAGGGGATGTCGGTGAGCGAGGGGCTGGCGTACTGGGAGCGCGCCGTGGCGTCGCGCAGCCCGGGCACGAGGAGGGTGCTGAAGCGCGGCAGCCGCGGCAGGCTGAAGGCCACGTCGCGCGGCAGGTCGGGCAGCACCCGCGACGTGCGCGCCTTGCCCTCCTTCTTGAGGTGCTCCTGGCGCGGCTTGTCCACTTTGATCACCATGTGGCCCACGAAGTACTCGTTGGGGTTGAGCGTGATGGGTTTCCGCACGTGGCCGCACGAAATGCGGAGCATGTTGAGGTAGTCGTCAGGGTCGAAATCCACCTTGCAAGGGGAAAAAACGTTTTATGATGTCATCGGATTTGACATGCGGTAAATATCACTTTTAATTAATACCAACATATTTAACTTAGAAGAAGTGTCATGTGCAAACGAAAGAGATGCAAAGAATTCGACCTTTAATGATGGTTGTGTACAAAAGTAGGTGCGTTAAGAACCACATTAAAACCGTTTTCTTCCAGTGCAAAAATTAATAAAACACGAGCTTTGTAAATAGTCATCAATCATTGTCTCGCCGTTATTTTTAATAAACAAATAGAAATTATATAATTGAAAAAGTAATGTTAGAATTAATATGCAATGAAAATTTCGTTAAGAAATTATAGAAAGATAGAGTATATTAGGATCCCAAAGATACCCCAGCTGGTATCTAAGGTGAAATTTTGCTTTCGCACCCAGGGTTTAAGAAAAGCTTAATCAAACGAAGTTAGAAGCTTGGAAGCCGTTTGTGATGGAGATAAAAGGACAAAGGAGGACAAGGTTTAGTTGACAAAAAAGATGAAAAGTAAATCTAGTAGAAGAGCATCTTCAGACCTATGAAGTCATAGGGCATCACTTATCTGTAAAGATTCATTTCCTTCTTGTTTGGATTTATTATTACCAGAAAATATTGGTAAAGTTAGCGACGAAGAGGGACAAAAGAACATTCAGACTTTGGGAACGCGGTATCAAGATCACTGATATTCAGCAGAGATGACGACTTCTGTTGGTTTCTGTACTATTTGTTCCCCCTCACACAAGTGATAACATAGGATGGGTTAACATTTTTAATTTTTTTCTTAGCCGAGAACAGATGTATCATATCAGTTACAACATTATTTCATGATAACTAAACATATTGCAAAAGAAAACTTAGTATTCTGAATTATTGGGTCCATTTCTTTCAAAACTGATAAAATGAATATATTAAAACAATGGTATGCGTTAAAGCGTTGTTATTTTTATATTATATGCTGAAAAAATAATTTTACACGTTGATGTCACACAAAAAGCTTCCTTTTTGCCGACTAGTGTTGTCAGGTAAATAGCTATGAAGTGGTAATAGTTGCTGTCAATACGCGCCGCATGAAAAGCTTTCCTACGTAACTGTGCAAGTTAACCCGGACGACAAGGCGAATGTGCTAGTGAGTGTACGCACCTCCTCGACGACCTGCGTGTAGAAGCACAGCATGGGCTCGCGGCCGTCCCACGGGTTCCAGATCTGCGTGTCGGGCATGTCCTTGATGAGGGAGACGGTGCGGCCCGTGCGCTCGTCGGAGAGGTTGAGGTCGGGCGTGTTGTAGTAGAGGCGGCGCACGTAGTCGTCGACGCGCACGGCCTGCCGCTGCTCCACGTCGAAGTCGATGTCGGTCTCGTCCTCGCTGCACTCGCACTCGTGCAGCCCGGTCAGCTGGCAGTGCATCACGTCGGGCACGCGGAACGTCGTCATGAGCATGGGCGTGCACTCGAACGGCATCAGGTGGTTGGTGTTGAACACGAAGTAGCGCAGGTGCAGCTCGGCCGCTTGCAGGATGACCCAGAAGCACAGCCAGAAGTTGTTGCCCCAGATGGAGCGCGTGTACGCGTCGTCGCACACGATGAACGCGGCCTGCGCGCAAGCGACAACCGGTGGATTCACTGTTACTGTTTGCGGGCGCGTCAAATGGTATCATCACTACACCCGTAAGTGTCGTGCATGATTTTTCTTCGGGAGGTGGCGGTGATCTCAGCCCACTGGGTGGCGAGATCCGGCACCGACCGTCGGCTAGGGTTTTTTTCCAAACAGGTAACTCCCACCAGAGGAGTACTGCCTCAGCCAGGAGTTCCGGGTATGTGTAGTAGTGTAGTGCATATTAGTATAAGTGTGAGTAAGTAATAGAATAGAATAGAACAAGGAAGTGCAAGGAAAGATTGCGCGCGGTTCATGGCCGTTTTTTAAACCTCTACATACTACAAACAACATAAGAATTTTCCTCGACTTAAGTGATTCTTTGTGAATTTTTGAAAAGAGCCAGCTTTCGGAGATACGCTGTGGCCGAAACAAAAATTAAAAAGTTTGAAAAAACAGTACACCGAAAAATTCCGAGTAGAAAAGAGGGATGGTCAATTAACATAGAAGATATGCAATATAAAACGCGTCTAAAAGCAAACGCCGATAAAAATCGTACCAACCATTCATTGTCCTTTTCGAATCGGTAAAGATTGTAATGGTCTGCATTACGAGAATTTCGCCTCTTTTTGTAATTTTGTTTAGTCCGCTGCATCTGCATATCAACGACGTCAGTGCCTCCGAGGCTACTAAATGGCGAAGGTTTCACACCTCTTTATGTGCTACCACCGGTGATGCCAGAGGCACCCGTCGTGCCGCCACCCACTCTATGGACCATGGGTCCACTACCCGGGGGAGTAGAATAAACTGCTTTATGGATACTCTCTTTCATTTCCCCCTGAACGAGTTACTTGGGTACTCCCTCTCCCCCTCAACTCGCGACATTTGGTACATACCCTGCAGTTCTACCACTCCACCCAATTTATTGTTTACCAGCAGGATAGCTGCCTGGGGTGGGCGTCTTGGCCTTCTTGGCTTTAATCCGCACCTTCGTTTTGTTCAAGAACACCTTTTTGCTTGTCTGGGTCCCACCAGAGCGCAGTTACCCCTCAATGCAGAAAACCTTCCCATTCAATGTCTGGGTCGGGCCGCCCTGCCAGCTCAGAGCTACTAGCTTTTCAGGCCAGTGCCAAAATTGACGTAAGCGCCATTCAAAATGCGCTACTGCCACGACGAAACCAAATACCCAACTGGGGGCCACCGGGACTTAGCCCCCAACCGGTCACCTCCTTGCCTCCACCTTGAAGTTATCGTCGGGCTTCTGGAACCTAGGCAAACTTGACGGGGGGTTCATGCTCCCCATCTGGTGTGTGGGTTTGAGAGCCACAGCCAGCTGCACGGAGGATGCCGGCTAACGAATCCCACGCCTAATCGCCACCTAGTCACTGCCTCCATCTTGAAGCTAACGACGTGAGTGCCGTCGTTAGACTCGGGGAACGGGTGGCCGTGTAAAATCGTCCAACAGGAACCCTAACTTCCGCGGTCGGCGGTTCCCCCCTGCGCGGGTAGCCGCCCTGCGAGGTGGTCTTTGCGTTTGAGCGCACCTGCACGTCGCCGCTGGCCATCTTCTGCGGCGGCACGAGCAGGCGCCAGCGGATCTTGCGCGCGACGCCGTGGCGCGGCCCGAACGACCACTGCCCAAAGAACGGGAAGGCCAGCGCCACGCCCCCGCGGATCGGGAAGTGCGGGTGGTAGTAGGAGCGCCGCGCCACGAACAGCTGCTCCTCGTTCTCGATGCGCCACGACGTGATGGTGGCGCCCTGCAGGTTCACCGTGCACGTGGTGGTGAGGGAGCGCTGCAGGATCACCACGTCCTTCTCTTCCTCCTCGGCTCCCGCCTCTGCTCCAGACCCACAGTCAGATCCATTAGCCACAGACTGGCTTTTCGGCATTGTGTACGTCACAGGTACGAAGTGCAAATACTCGACAAACAATGACAAGGGAAATGGCCCACTCGCAGATGTTCAATTAGACAGAGAAACGTGCAAATGAGTAGACGAATTTAAATATCAGGGATTTCTGATTACCAACGCTAAAGAAACATAAATAAAAGCTCACTTAGTTTTAATAAATGTTGTAGTTCTTTAAGACACATATTTCGTAAAATATATACAAGATACCTTGAACTTCAAATCTAAGAGTATACTACCACAATAAATAATGTATTGCGTAGTTGAGAGTGCTCAGTGTTAACAAGAAAGTTAAGAATGCAAGTTAGTAATAGAATATGGTCAGTGGTGAATAAAATACAATTTGAAGTTGACTAACGTATACAAGAGACCTGAAATTATGGCTGAAATTAGATTCAGAAGGATTCAGTGTCTGGGCGTTGGGTCATCTATTACGTATAGGGAAAGAGAGAATAAAAAAATGGTCCCCTCAGGTGAAGTAGAAGGGAAGAGAAAGAGAGGATGATCACGATTGAAATCTATGGAAAATGTGTAAATGGACTCGAAAACACTTCATATGAGGAAATCAAGGGGAGCAATGAATAGAAAAGAATGGGTTATCATCGTGAAAATGGCTAAAATGAAAGGCCACAGCGCGTCAGAAGAAAAACAGGAAGGGAGAACTTTCTCTTCTTCCTTTTTGGAAGAAGAGAAAGTTAAGGGAGAGGAAGAAGAAGAGAAAAATGAGGAAGAGGAGGAAGAAGAAGAAGAGGAAATTAGGAGTTTTTAAACACTGTGCCTCTAGCACATGACTGAAGTTTTTCGTATTAACGATAAAATCCATAAAGACCAAATTAAAGCGATTTCATGACGTAGCTAACATTTAACACTCACTATTGAAAAAGAGGAATTATCGCACTTAGCGATAAATATGATCATCTCGCGATCCGTACATTAAGAATAGAAAACAAATAAATGAATGTTTTATTCATAAAACTCAATTTAAAATATTACAAGTTGTAATAGTAGGTAACGTTACTGAAATAACACTAGAATTTAAATGAATGTAGCGTGAAGTATTTGTATAAACATAAAAGATACAATGATAACAAAACTTTTGAAACTAGGTTTTTTGGCATTATGTTTATATGCTTAGTACTTAACACGGTGAATCTAGTAATTTTCTAAGTTAGTTGTGCAATCATTGCATCGATAGTAGTAAATTAATTAATTTTCGGCCACTTTCTTCATACTGAAACCCAACTCCAAATTTATAATATTGTTGTCGTTGTAGCAAACGATTATTTTCGTTTGTTTGCTTTTATGCATCGTATAATTAAAGTCAGAAATGTAATTCAAAATTAAATACTTATTACTGATTTTCAAAGAAACAAACAAACAACAAAGTTAACAAGTTTTAGCAAAAAAAAATTACATCGTAAATAGTTACAGGAAATGAGAGCATCTCAATACCCTACAACAAAGTAGTTGTGTAGATTGATAATAAAATAACATAAAAATCCAGAGAACGCTTGAACATTTCTGTTGGGGGTTGTTCGTAAACCGTCGTTGTTCCACTTTAAATCACTGTGATTCGTAAGCCACACAAGCCTTTTACATAATCTTGGGGGTACGAATATCACAGTTTGAGTTTAGTAAAAAATATTGAAGGTGATATTTCCAACGTTTTATTTATTTGATTTGCAAATTTCGAGGATCCGTCATCACTATCGTTTTAATACGTGATTTAATTAAGTATGACTACTTGGGTCACATAATGTAAAACTAGGGGTTCTAAAAGAGCATATAGTTTCCCTCCTTTTAGTGCCAGTTATGTAATAATATTACACCTCATTTCTGTCTATATCAACACATCTCAGTAGATGAGCACTCTCAACAAAGCGCGCATGCAGGGATGGGCGCTGCCGACAATGGACACATATTTTCGTATCAGTTCTTCACAAAAGCGTAATTTTTGCCGTAAAGGTAATGTGGTAGATAGTTTTCGAGCTACGTTTGTACAACACTTTGTCTGAGACAAAAATTTCTTTCTTCAATTATGTAGTTTTATTTTTTTTAATTTTAAAAAACCGAGCAATACCCGAAAATACGACTACTAGCATATTTTTATCTTCTCTTATTACGTATGTTAAGAAAATTTAAAGAAAAAATAGGAACAGTTTTTGAAAATTTTTTGTACATTTAAATCGCAAAATGCGCAAAAACTACTTGTTAGTTCAAAGAATTGTGCATGACCTTTTTTGAAGAATTTTCGAAAATCGAGGATGTTAACGAAAATGAGACCTGGACCATTCTCTTAAACATCATTTGCACTGTTGAGAACAAAATTTTATCAAAAAAATTGAAGCCAGTTTTTTGAAAATTTTCCAAGGTACCCCTCGAAATTAAAATATTGATTTCAAATTCCAGAGTTCGCGATATCAGGTGAACGATTGGGGAGTAACAATTCTGGAGAAAATGTGTTTTTGCCGTCAATCGATTTTTCGGTATGAAGGATGCATAAAACATGGATTCAGGGCCTGGCAATAAGAGTTTTGTGTCGAAATTTCGCCGTTTTCCGGCGCACGATTGCAATTCTTTCTCGTCTTACGTACTACGTCTACGTGCGCGTACGTCATAAGTGCGAGAAAGTAAAATACGAAGCATTTCACTTAATATTGAAAGGAAAGAGAGAAGGAAAAATGGGAGTTGGACGGAGACCATTATTCTGGTTTACGAATATTAGCTATTGCATAAGGCCGCGTAAGGTCTGTTTGAGAAGTGGTTGATTTCGTTGACCACGTTTCCTATCTGAATCGCAGTCCGCAAACACAACCATTCACCTCTCATCGTTCATGTTTCTTTCTCACTCTTCCATCTTTCATTTGAAGTAAAACATTGAGAAATAAATACTCATCACCTGACCGAGGGAGCTTCTTCCCTTACCTAAGGTGAGAAATGTGTGACTGATCACGTTTAACTTCAGGCATAATTCGTTGCGTGGTAATTGCGAAGAAAATGATATCAAAGAGTTATTGAGTTATAACGATAACGAAAGCGTTGTCCTCTCAAATGTTCACTTTCACTTGCTAACGCCCAAATTTAAGATAAAGTTTATTTAGAATTTGTAAAAAAAATAATGAGAAAACAGGGAAACAAACTCAAATGATTTCTCTCAAATGAGTGGATTTACTCTAGAATCTCATTCAAATGACGGCATTAGAGTGTCAACCGAAAAACACAACGGCAAAATGATCATATTGCGGTGAATATTTCCAATTCGTTGATGTAAGATTCCTTTGTGTTGATGTAAGATTCCTTCCTATTTCGTGAGACGAGATTACAGATTACGCAAGAGTTCACTTCCGCCAAGTCCGAAGATATGCGGAAGAGAATTAGGGTCTCGGTTTCTGCTTATCTAATCAAGCCGTTGCTGAATAGGAGATTTGTGTAATAGCTGACCGGTTACGACTACTGTACAGTCTAGAAAAAGATTTGTTATTAACAGGCGGGACTAAAAAGAAGTTAAATAGAGTATGGCTTAATTTTTAAAGATTAATACATGTTTTAAAATTGAAACTAAGATTATCTTATTACTCTCATTCATTTTAGTTTTGGATTAATTTTGAACTATATTTATTTAAATAGATGACCAAAATTTTCAATTTTCTAGCACACTCATAAATTAGAAAAAATAATAGGATAGGAGTTTCTAATAAAGAACACAATTGTGTCGAATGAATTTAAATCGATAAGTTTATCAAAAATAATTGGAAGATACTATTATAGCGTCATTCGATACATGCAAAAAGTGGGGGGAAATATGCTTCTTGCTATTTCAGATTTTGATTCCAGTGTTAACATAAAAGTACATCTTTCGAAACTCGAAAGACCTATTACATTTTTTAAAAAATTTATATTGAATTTCCTAAGTTTTTTTACATCAGCAAAGAAAGAAAACTAATGTAAGGTATTTGTGCACAAATCTCGGAATTTCAAAATAAAGCATCCAACGTACACAAATAAGAGTAACGTGTTTCGGGTGTTTGTTCATTTGTGGAAATCTATTCCAAACTACAGACTGAACAATTTTCATGAAGTGACACAGAATTATTGTCTTCAACTCACTATCAGAATGGCAGACACGAATCTTTTTACAACCAAGCCATCAAATCGAAACTAAAATATTTTGAATAGTGAGAGAAAAATCAAAACTATCTCGTATTATTTATTTAAATACAACGCTGGAATCAAAACTTGTATAGGTTTTTAGAAAATCTCCGTAATTTCGTGTAACTTGTCCACGTTTTCACAAGTGACCAATAGAGTTAACAAATGAAGTTTGCATTTTTCACATATTTTGTTATTATTTATATTAAATTTCACATAGTATTACCAAGGGCAAGAAAGGAATCTTCAAAAACTTCCATGTATCAGAAGAATTATTATTAGTTTAGAATTTATTTAATAAAATTTAGAAAAAAACATTTGGAACCGTTTCAAACTCGAGAAAAGAATCGTAACAGAAATGTTTTATCACAAAATGAAACTGAAATCGGCAGGTTATTTGAAACGTTTTGATACCTTAGTTGCAGCTGGCTTGAAAATTAATACCGCATGTCCTGTGTTTGTTAATGATCGCATTTGTTTTTAGTCTTACTCAACAGGCGGGGCTTTAGTTACTGTACGTGAACAACCATTTGTGTCATCCCCCTATGTTTGGAAGATTACTTTTTTTTCTCTTGCGCTCATGCTCGTCGCATGTCTTTATCGTCCTTTGAAGGCAAGAGCAGACGGGTTTTCCCAAGGCTCGGCATCTCACGTCTTCGGGGAAAGCGTATGGGTCCATGTTTCAATTTGGTTTCTCAACTATAATTGATGAAAAAATCGTAGCAACATTACATCTAGATGTGTTTGTTTAAATCTGTTACTAGGCAATGAAATGAATTTTTGATGGATAAATGATTTGAATAACAAAAACAGGTCGGTTGTCTGTTAAAAAATTAATTTTTTCTACAACTATAATAAAGGCAGATTTTGCTCATTGCTATCGGCACGTAAAGTAGGGACAAATTAATTACATGAATGTAGATTATTTTTAATATCCATGAAAAGAGGCGGATGCTAAGACGACGTTTTTGTTATCTCGAAAAAAGTACTTCACAAAAGTACTTCAGTACCCTTAGCAACACTTCTGCATTTATAGGCCAATAATACTGTGCCAGTAGTGCTAAAATGGTATTTTTTGCAGGATATGAATGCTATAAAAGAACAGCTTTTACTAGTGGTTGTATAAAAACATCTCTATTGTTTTTTGTCTCGAACTACGGTCTCGGCAAATTGAAAAATCTGGACCAAGAAAAATAAGTATTTTAGGATTTACCCCAGGATAGAAGCCCTAACCGAGGTTAAGTTATAAATTATGAATAAAATATTATGACAAAAAAGATATTAAGTCATAAAATGTTATCTAGATAAAAATTAAATTTATTGGAGAATTGTGTTTAAAGTGATCTAATGGATAATGAATTTTGAGCTAAAGCAGAAAGCTTTTCTAATCGGAAAAAATCAGTTCCAAAATAAGAATCATAGTAATGGAACTATTCTCTGCAACCTAGATGAAATTTGAAATATTTTTTTTTATTATTGGTAAAGCAATCATTTTTAAAGAGAAACGTTAAAATGAATAATGTGATATTTCTATTTGGAAGTGTACCACTAGTCGACATAACTGACATGAGGACTCAGTATCAACAGCATATTACTAAAACAGTTCCCATACAATAGTACAATTAGACAGTAAAATACGATATTACGGTAATATTTTATAATAATGACATTGGACAAATATTTAATTTTTATACTCATGAAATATGAATTTGCTAGCGTAAAATAATTATGTGTCCTTATCCAGCATCTTAAACAAAATTTTCAACCAATTTTCTTTCAATAATCGAGTAAATGTTTAGACGGTCCTTGATTTTATTCTGAGCACTTTTACCCTGCAATAACTGTTTGTAATGTTCAATAAATAAAGAAAAACTATTTTGTTCATGAGATCATTTAAATTTTAAATGCACATCCTTAAATTTTAAAACTACTTTTTCACGTTTACATCTTTCGAAACATCACCTTATTAATCTGTTTAAAAGTATTAAAACGTCTTTCTTTTAAATGTGTATTTATCATTTTATGTAAGGCATATTAATGAGCTGTGCCATTTCCGAGTAAATAAATAATTCAGACATTTAATATATCTGCACTATTTCAAGCAGATAGTAATCCACGAGGCATTACATCAAGCGGCAGAAATTAAATTCCCCTTAAAACGACATATGACACACATCCTCCTTTCCGAGTGAGTGAACACTGATTTCCAGAAGCGCTAGGCCGCGCCACAACTGCTCGCTCTTGCGGTAGTTTGACAAACTTGTCAGAAGAGAACACCAAGCTCTGCGAGTGTGAGGGCGGAGGAGGCAACTGAGGGAGAACTGGCCGAGGTCATTACTCGACGTGGCTGTGAATGGTACGTTTTCTTCTTTGCAATAACAAGAGCTTAGAATGGATACGTTGTAACGGGACTATTTCGAAGACCGTGTCGTTTGACGCCTTCTTACCGGCTCTACTGGAGCTCTGACCGATACTGTGAGAGCCATCTCGTGACGAATTACGTACTTCTTGATTACGCGAACCGTGGCGGGATGCTTAAATTTTGTTTACTACATTATATTCGAGGGTGAATGGAGACTTAAAGGTGAAATTCAGTCCACATATGATGTCTATATAAAGGCAAATGTGGACAATTAACACGCTGAGATCAGTGAAAATCACGCTGAGGTGAAAATCGCGATCGAACGCTTTGAAATAGATGAGTAAAATACATTTTATACTTATTTTGCAAACTCCTGTTGCTAATTGTTTTACCTTGCAATACTATATAGATAGGCAGATTGCTAGGTAGAGAGATAGATAGATGCTTTCTTTCTTAATATTCAAATTACAATTGTTCACTTTTTCAAAGTGGGCGGGAAGCTGTAGAAACGTAAACCAACAAATACTAGTGCAATATTAATATTGTTTTTACGCCATGAATTGCTGTTGATTTTTTCTGGAGATAATTATTCCATTCTGCAATGAAGACAACATAACTATGTACTGTTGTCTCGAATTCACAACTTGTAAAATTCTTTCTTCAGCGTTATGTACTTCCCCGTTAATTTTAAAAAACCTAACAACAAATAATTTGCTCTTCCTTGCAACATCGGTAAGTCCAAGGACCGTTGGTTGCGAAGCCTTTGGGTGAGAATGGTGAGACTTCGGGTTCCCGTCATGATCCTTTACCACCATTTACCTTTCATTATCCGTGTTTTTGTTTACGACCAGTTATTTAATAACAATAATAATAATAATAATAATAATAATAATAATAATAATAATAATAATATCTGAAGTACTCTGCGCGTACGTTTACCACAATCATCAGAGACAGGAAAAGGAATAAATTTTATCTATAGAGGAAAATGGAAGAAATTTTATCTGCATTCTCCATCCACACATGCGCTTTTCCTGCTCGCCCCGCCTCACTGCTGCCTAGCGATACGCAAGACATAGATGCGTTGCAGGTTGCAATAGGTAGAAACAAGCATTTCACATCTTCAGAAGATGAAATTTGAAAAATTATATTTTTAATATGGTTGCATACATTGTTATATTCCGACATTTTAACATAAATATTTCAAATTTTAACTTTCTAAATTAAGTAGTGTTGGCTCTGCGTTGATGTGTCAGCCAGCCAGAAGCATCAACACTCTGCGCTCACAGCAGTCACGAATGAATTCAATATTTTTACGTACGAGCATTTTAGGTGCAATACAACAAAGTATTACGGAAGGATGTTGTCACTTCCTAACACTCCTTTACCTAATTATACCGCTTTAAATTGGGCAAAAATGCAGTAAAGAGGGAATTAAAATGGGAAAACAAAATACCCACAATTTACTGTTCGCAGACGATCAAATTATAATTGAAGATGTAAACGAGGTTGTATATGATGTGAGAACTTGGGGAAAAGTCTCGGTGTTGGTGTAACTGCGCTAGTGTAATGGTTAGCGTATCGGGCTGTTATACCCAAGTTGGCGGGTTTAAATCCGATCGAAGCCGTAGATTTCTAAAAGCGAAAAAATCCTTCGTACGCCTTCCTTCGGAGGGGAAGTAAAGCCGGCTGTCCCATGTTAGTAGATTTACTTGCATGTACAAGATCCTCAAGCCTAAATGACGCCTCTGAGCTAAATTCAAATCCCCTGTTTCTCGCCCAAAAAATACCCCCTTTCGCCGCTAGTTGATGAAAGGAGCGTAGCGAAATTTGCGTGCTCAGACGGAAGAGCGGGCCTCATGGCCCGAGTCTCGCCACGTAAAATAAGGCACTAATTCAATTCAACTTTTTGTAGTTGGTAATGGAAGAAAAGCTTTAATCTTAGAGAGTTCCTTGCTTACAAATGTAAAACAATTTTTAATAATTAAGGATCAAAGAGATATCAATCACAAAAGTTTTAAATTTAAAAATTTAGTAAATTTTTACTCACTCACCAATAGCCTTCCGAGGGGTAATAAAAATAAATATAATTAATACTTGTATAATTAATAATATAATTAATAATATAATTAATTATAATATAATTAATACTAGTATAATTAATAATAAGATATTAACAGCAACAAACTGTTACAAACTTTTGGCTACAGTATGTGGCAAGTCCCAACTCAATTGCCGACGTGAGAGGAGTTGTGAAATGTAGAAATTGGGGAACTTTGTCGAGTGGGCGCGCATGGACAATTGTATCTCTCGGGCGCGCTCCCGCTCGCGCTGCGAGGGCCACTTGCGCGTATCTCGGCCACTCGAAGAGAAGCGAAGCCAAGTGAAGTGCCGCTGGGCCAGCCTTCGCTTGCTGTTTCAGAGCGCCTCCTGTGCCGACACCATGGCTCGCGCGCTGTGTGCCGTGCTGCTTGTGTGCGTCGCCGCGGCCTCCGCCGCCACCCTCCACGCCAGGGCGCTCAACAACCGGCCCGTCATCGGTGAGTGACCGCCAGCCAGGGGGTTTCAACTTGCTTCAAGACGTTGACCTCGGGGAAGAGGCTGACAAATCGATTTTTCTTCCGAAAAAAAAATCAAGCTATTAGATTCTTTGAATCATTGCCTATATTTGGGTGTAATAACAATCTTTTAATTCCTTTTGGTAGCGGAGTAATGGGAGCTTGTGTATTTACGAACAAGACGTAAATTTCATAAATTTATACACACTAATTATTGTCTGTCTAACTATTGAAATAATTGATTCATATTAAATAAGTTGAATTGTCTGTTTATTCGTACGAGAAAATTTAAAATGCTGGCCTGTAACAAAAATAAAGTTGGACAAAACCACACAAAATAGTTTTCTAAAAACTAACACGCGCTCAAGAACAATAAAATATAATGTACTCTGCATCACACTGGAACCAAAATTCTTCACGAAAACTCCAATAATCCAACAACTCTCTCTCTCTCTCTCTCTCTCTCTCTTACTACTATATATTATATTATATATATATATATATATTATATATATAATTATATATATATATATATATATATATATACAACACTTACATACACACACATGAGAATTTAGTACATACTGCAAAGTTTAAGAAATTGGGATTAACATTATAAAATATTTTCATTTTCAGTTAAATTTGAAATTGTTTAATATTTTGGGATATCCCCCTAGTTTATGGGTATCACATAGTAGAAGCGTAGATAACGTAGATGTTCAATTGTATATTAGAAATTTGAAACAATTCTGATAATGGCTAAGTCTTCGAAAAAAGCTCATAAAATAAATTATAAAAAATGGTAAAGACAAAACAATTTTTTCAACCCAGCCATCGATGATTTTATAGGTGGCGACATTCAGCCATCTCCTTTTATATGTAACGTTATCCGTTTCAGTCGGTTATCGCTTTTGTTACATCTAAAGCGTTTGATTAATGAAACAACGCATTTTACACGTTTTATTTATCCCTATGCTAAGACAGTTTGTCCTAAAAATACTCGCGCACTAGAATCGAGAGATAAACGCGCCAACATTATCATCCTATTAAGTAACAGAAGCCTGACTCTTATACAAGTCCATAAAACTTCGTAATTGTTTAGAAAACCAGGAACTCTGTGTGGTACTTAAACTAATCTTTCGCTCTGACAACCTTGAGATTTACACGTAGATTTCGAAAATCTGTCAAACCTTTAAATGTGTTGAATGGAGTAAATAATTCTACGTACGATGTCGTTACTTCAGAGCTATTGGCCAATATTAAACCGTGACCCCGAAGAGCTTTTTCTGAGTACACTTCGAATGTTTCCTCAGAGACGATACCTTAGGTAACCGAGTGTATGGATATTAAAAGAGCTCGCTTCGGGCTGCAGAGAAACTACTTAACCCAAATATATAAAAAAAAATAGCTTGATTGTGGGCGAGGATATAAAAAATATTTCAACCTTACCAAAATAAACACTATCCTAAAAAATACATACTCAAAAAAACAACAACAAAAAGACAATAGTTTCTTCTATCTCCTCTCTTGATTGAAGACCTGGAAAGAAATTTGGTAAACGTAGTCGGGTGTAGAAGAGCTCGTTAGAATAGAATAAAAGAATATTGCAAATGGCGCTTCTTCTTGATTTCAGCCTTTGTAAGTTTCTGTACATTCTAATCTTATGTTTTTGTTGATATAAGTTTGTAACTCAGGATTGTGAAAGTTTTTTCAGATATCGTACTCGTGGGAATTTATGATACTTTCTTATTTCATGGAAGTTAATAATAATTTAAGAACACGTTTATTGTTTGCTCTTGCACTTGAAGTACAAGCAAAGGAAAAAGGTTGTTTCTTTACAATTTGCCTTTAAAGAGATACAATTTTGTTGAAGGCATGATACAGTCACATTCACGTTTCAGTCAGTAGCAAAACGAATATTTGAAATGAATATTCAGTGTGCGATTGATGTTGGGATTATTACATTTAATCTACCATTTGAAAAGTTTCAATAATTTCTTATCACTGTGTTTGATAAATACGTTATACTGAATAATCATCCAAGAATTATCTTATCTCTGTCTTGAAAAAAATCAAAGCAAATCAATCCATTTAATATTTTATTGAAATAAAGAAATTTATATATCTATTTCCTTTGATCTGGTTTAATTAATGCTGATAAAAGGGCAAGTGATTTTTGAAGAAGAAGATTAGAAGAGAATGAGAAAAACTTTCTTCGCCTGTTTTCTCTAAAAAAAATACAATTTGATGTAAAAGTCCAAATATTATGACCCTTTTAGCTGGCGTTTACGAAAGTTTTTCTTTATGAAACTTGATTTATGTAATTTTGATATCAGTGACATGATTACTTTGATGTTGAGGGAGGATGATAGTATACGAACCTCACTCGCAAAGGAGATTCATCATCTTTTGTAAATTATCTCAACATTCACAAATTACAAACCTTACTAATCTTCGTAGAGAAAAGAAATTTTATGATCCTATGTATGTAACCCTCTAACCACCTCCCATGTGAATAAAAACAATTAGTTCGAAGAAAATTATTATTATTATTATTATTATTATGTTTATTATTATTATTATTATTATTGATTAAAAAAGTAATTATTTCTGTGGTTTGCAGGCGTTCTGTCGCAAGAGGTATCTCCTACTGTCGCTGGCATCTATGGCAACCATTCCAGCTACATCGCGGCGTCGTATGTCAAGTTTTTGGAGGGTGCAGGCGCGCGGGTGGTGCCGATAATGTATGAAACCTGTATGAAATATCGCAAACTTGCTACAGCAATGGCATAACTCAATGAGGTATATATTAAGGAGATTCGTTTGAAGTTTTACTCGTGGATAAATCTACGTATATGAATACGTTTCACTCGTAAGTGTGTGCGATTTTGAAGTGATATTGAAGCAAATGCAATATGTCATTTAAAGTTTAATTTTGAGCTACGCCATTGTTATAGCAAGAAAGGAAACTTTTGAACACAGTATTGGACTTATGACTCTAGTTTACACTTGCGCCAAAGTTATTATATCAGGTTCTAACAACTGTTTTCCTAATTTTCAGGATTGCACAGAATTCATCGTACTATAAAGACGTTGTTTCAAGAATAAATGGGTACGTAGACATAAATATGTCAGATTTGAAAGAGGAAGAATGTAAACGGAATCAATAGGATGTCTTTTAAAAAAGATGAATGAAAGTAGGTAAAGCTATTAATTTATCACTAACAACTCTCAGAAACAATGCAATTGATAAAACAACAACTTTAAAGTTTTATGGAAGTTGGATTATACTTCAGAAGTCAGAAAACTTTATTAATAGTTTCATCCGAATTTTTTTAAAATAAATCTTTCCAGTGACGAATTGAAAAATCGAATCACGTTGTGCAACGTGACTACTGCTTGCCATGAGAGTGGAAGTGGAGACACGTTTCGCTCTGCATTGTGTTGCCAACTTTTGTCGACCTTTGAAATCTGTTCAGATACCCGAGGACTGGCTCGTGACCTTACCCCTAATATCCCTGCATTAGGCGCCATACGCTTGAAAACATTATTCCGATACCTGAAATCATTAACTGTGAACATTGCAGAAACCATGTGCCTGACAGCAGCTGTGTAATGAAAATTAGAAGTCAGTGAAGTAGTTAATTCGGACAATAGACAGTAAATAAGTGACATAATTCCACTGTAATTATTTGTACATCTGTTCAAATAGTACGTATAATACTAGAGACTTTCAAGAATATTGAAGAGACAAGCAATATAATTTAATGTCCGAACCTTACATTGTAATTAACACCATGATATTACACTATGTATGATAAAACAAAAGAAAAATGAAATATTATTTAAGAATCATAAAAATAATAACTAGGTATTTTGTATTATTAGCGTTTAAGATTTTTTGTCAAAAATATTATTACAGCAAGTTATCTGATACATTTAGTATACGTCCTGTGTATTTTAAAAACATCATTGCAGTTTGTCAGGGGTGAGGTTTTACACTGAAGCGTGTCAATAAAAATCATTTCAATAAATAAATAAACATATGTTTCTTCATTGTGTTATGGAAAAAAAATGGGTTTTTTTGATTTGTGATTATTCAAGCCAGTTTAGATAATTACACCTCCGAGCTTATCATACATTAATGACAATAAATTTAGAATTCTGCTCATTATGCTATGAAACGGAAAAGAGGCGCACAACGTATCTGCAAGTTCAATTAATGACACTTAATACTAGGGGAGTAACATAGACTAAGTTCCAACAACGCATTTATTATATTTATGATTGTTGCTCGCCCGTTGAGACACACTAAGTAACTGAGACTGCGAAACAGACGGACAATGAGCAAGTGTTTCTGTCTCAGCAGCGTGAATGGTCAACAGAATAATATTTTCGCACAGGTGCAATACACGCCACCGGCCTATCATCTATTCGAACGACTAGTCGAGTGCTGGAAGGTGCTCTTTTCCATTTCTTTTTACCAGTTTTCTTGCTCAAATTTTGTAGTAAAGAACCATCTCCGACGCCCCTGTCCAAAAAAAGAGAAATGCTTGCGTTGTTCCCAATTTAAGTTTGTGTTCTCACTCATACATCGTGTATATAATAATTAAAATATGATATTTAGTTTTTTAATAATATTTAATTATTTTTATTACAACTATTACTGGGGAGAGGTATGTAATATAAATAAATTATATTGATAAACCTAATGAATTTTATAGATTTAAATACATTATATAACATATCTCAGAATAAATAATACGCATTTGTAGAACATGTAACGGGTTCGAAAATGAGCACTTTTTTCCAATGAAACATACAGTGGAAAATTTCAGATAACGGAGTTACGCGTGTAATAGTTGCCTGTATTAATAAGCATGTAATTGTGCACTGATGTTTGCTGCCAAAGGGATTTCGTTTTCTTGCCAAACATCTGTGCGTGATGAGTTTGCCTAAAAACGAGGGACAAAGTTCGCAAGTACGAGTATAATATCGATAAATGCAATTTCCTATCATATGATTAATAGTAAAAAGTGGGTGTTTTCGACCCTCTAGATGCACTAGAAGTGTGTAACATTTATTCTGAGACACGCGTATAACTTGATGGCTCGCTCGGTTGCAGAGTACTGTTCCCAGGCGGCGCCACGTACTTCGACAACCAGCAGGGATACGCGGACGCCGGCGCCATCTTGTTCTCCCTTGCGGAGCAGCTGAACGCCCGAGGCGACTACTTCCCGCTGTGGGGCACGTGCCTGGGCTTCGAGCTCATCACGTACCTGGCGGCCGGACGGCGCGAGCACCGCGCCTGGTGCGACTCCGAGAACGAGATGCTGCCGCTCGACTTCAAACCGGGTGAGGCCGCCAGGCGGGCGGTGCTGTGCGCGGGAGCGCAGGGGAAAGGGCACGTGTGTGTGTGAGTGAAAGAACTTGGAGAAGAGCACGTGGGTGATATCACATTGCGTAGGGTACTTGGGAGGGAGCATATTTGTGAGGGCATGTGGGTAAGGGAACGTGGGTAAAGGCACGTGGATGAAGGAACTTGTGAGAGAAAACCTATCCGAGGGCCGGCTAGGTTCGAGGCCCGACGGCGGCAGGATTTTCGTCACTAGTTTCTCAGCTAGGTCGAATCCATTCGCTGTCCGGAGAAGAATTCTAGCGGCCAGCTGCTCTGATCGGTATTTTTCCGTGGTTTCTCCGATCAACATCAGGCTAATATCGGAACACTACCCTAACAAAAGGGCCACGAAGCGCGTGCAACCTTTCCTTCCTATTCCGTGTCTTATCCTCACTCCTTTCTTACACACGCTCTAACACGCATTACTCTACCTCACATCCAGAAGACCGGGCGGAATCTTAGATCTTGTCCTGGCTGGGGCGGTGCCCCGCTGTTAGGAGATACATCGTGGGGGAATACCCCACTATCCTACGGTAGTTTGGGACCGGATCTCACCATCCAGCTGGAAAAATCATATCCACCTCCCGAGGAACAAATTATACACTACATTTACGGACCTATAGACCTCAGCAGTTGACGCGCCCGGAATCATTAGAAATCAACAAACCGAGGGCAGGTTGGTAAGTAGTCAGTCAAGAGGTCAAATGAACAGCATTCTTCGCAATTTTCTGTCTGGTAGAAGTCCAAATCCCTCTCACTGTGGGAACGTTTTTTCTCAACGACCATTTATTAATACATGTATTACTACGGTATATTCAGTCGACAAATGACATAGGTTACACAACCCGTGAATTCCAGTTCGGAATCCACGGCCTGGTGACCAATCACATTCCTAATATTTTCATAATCCACGGACAGAATTGCATTCTCTTTCTAATTTGCAACACCGTTTTTAAATAACAATCGCAGTGTTATGAATTACCAAAGGGGACAAAGGGAGATAAGAGGGGGAAAGGAGGACGAAAGATCAAATGGAGAAAATGGTACAATGAGGACAAAAAGATAAATATTGGGAAATGGGAGAAAGAGGACGAAATGGAGATAGGGAGACAAATTAGAAAAACTAGAAAATAGAGACAATTAGAAAAAATAGGGCAGTGGAACAAAATGGGACAAATGGACAAAACGAGACAAGGGGACAAAATGGGGCAATGAGGCAAAGTGGGACAAAGGGGGCAAATGGCGAAAGGCAAGAAATGGCAAGAGGCGAAACGGGGCAAGAGGGCAAACTGGGATAAATAGACAACATGGAACCAGAGGTAAAATGAGACAAAATGGGACAAGGTGATAAAATAGGACAAAATGAGACAAAATGGGACAAGGTGATAAAATAGGACAAAATGAGACAAGGTGACATTGCGCGAAAAGGGTAGAAAATGAGGTAAGGGGGCAATTGTTATAAGGAGACAATTTGTACAAGGGGACAGTTGGGACAAGGGCACAATCGGAACAAGGGGACAATTGTGACAAGGGAACAATTGGAACAAGAAGCCAAATGGAACAAGGAGACAAAATTGGACAGGGAACAAAATGGGACAGGGAACAAAATGGGACATGGGGCAAAAGATACAAGGGGGAAAATACGACACAAGGACAAATGGAACGAGGGGACAAAATGAGCCAATGGGCAAACGGGAAATGGGCGACAAATCGGGCCAATGGGTCACGAGGAAAATGTGACAAAAAGACAAGCGCCAAGTGGGACACATTTATCCAAAGATTTATGAATAGTGGTAAAACCTAAACTCGAGAGTCCGCTAAAATATTTTAATGGACACTCAAGCATTTTAACGGTTTGCTATGGAATCGCTATTAAAGCGTAGTAAGATTGATTGCTAAGGAGCTAAGCGCGTGTTTGCCGACGGAAATAACAAATACTGTTGATAATCTATTCTAAAAATTTCAAAGGAAAGGTGTAGTGTCCTATTCAATCATAATGACTATTATTCACTCGTAGAAATTGCGACACTTGCCCCTAGGTAGCTCGGGGGAAAGGTGTAGTGTTCTATTCAATCATAATGACTATTATTCACTCGTAGAAATTGCAACACTGGCCCCTAGGTAGCTCGGGGGAAAGGTGTAGTGTTCTATTCAATCATAATGACTATTATTCACTCGCAGAAATTGCGACACTAGCCCCTAGGTAGCTCGTATCGTAAACATCAACTCGAGAGTAATAGCTATCATTATTCGCTCGTAGAAGAATACACTATTCTATTTCGTATACAACCAAGAGAAAGGTTTTTTATGCTGCTGGAAAATTGCCGACTTTTCGACTCAATAGCACATTTTGTCGGGGTCTGATACCAAGACGTCGGATTTTCTTCTTCCTAAATGTAGTTAACTATTTTCTCGTACACACGTAATACGCCAATGGCAAAATACTCGCTTGGGGGAAGCGGGGCTTCCAATGGTAGACGCGGATATAAACTAGACGATTGGGAATGCATTTTCGGGAGACTATAGTCTAGTGAAATCCAGTCTTTTTGTCACTCCGTATGGTATCGAATACTACTGCCCATAAATGTACACTAAGGAGAATCCCTGAGAGGATATACAGACAAACGATACAAGACTGTGCCACATGGGGTAAGAATACAACACATTTGTATGCCAGGCTTCATTTCTTGAGATATACTCTTTGTATTGAAAGGTGCAAGAATTTGCTGTCTCTAACTTGCACGAATAGCTAGCATGGTGATACTGGAATGTCTTGATTTATAAAAGTGATTCATTTTCGCACCAAGTGCCTTGCTGAATGTTTGTGCGTACTTAGTGTGAGATTGCTTTCTTGATTTTTTTCTATTTCATATTGACATAATACTCGTAACTTACTTCGATATGGTCGGCAATCACAAAAGCTCACCAAACAAAACAATATCAGCAGTACTTAATAAAGCAATCCCATACTGCTTATGCCCAGACATTTAGCACGGCACTTGGCTCGAAAATTAATCACTTATATAAAGCAAAACTTTCCAGGATCATCATGCCAGCTACTAGTGCAAGATAGAAACAGCAAATTTCTTATACCGTTCAATTGAAATTACCGCCGTGTCTATAGAACAGTTCCTTCTGAAAAAATGTCCTTGAGTCAAGCAAAGCGCACTTGTAAAGTAAATATAAGTCTGATTTTCATTAAACCTGTGAACTTTCCAAAATGTAAATCTCACGTGCTTTTTTCTGAAGTTTACGAAATTTAGATTTACGAGATGGTTGGAGAATGAATAGGATGCAGTTTGCATATTACGTACGAGTTACAAATAGCACGAGAAAGTATGTGTTGTAACATTATGATTTATTTTTGAATGCCATTTTCACAAGAATTGTTTACTAGTAGGAAAATAAACTGTTCAGGTAAGCATACCTACAAACATGCATCTAAATCCCCGAGAGTTGATGTGAAGTGGGTAAGTTAAGAATATTATTGCATTTAGATGGATTTATTATCGACTTGTCACAAACGTGTTTAAGCATGTCTACAAATTACTTCTAAATCCCCGAGAATTGATGTGAAGTATGTAATATTTATAATTATATCAATTTGGATGGATTTAAGATCGATTTATGGAAACATTTGTTAAGCAGGCCTACAAACAGACTTCTAAATCCTCGGGAATTGATGTAAAGTACGTAATACTTGGAATTATTTGAATTTGGATGGATATAAGATCGATTTGTGGCAAACATATGTTATTTTATCGAAGAAACGTTATCTTGATGAGGATTATCGTCATATCTTTGTGGTTGATCTGATGCACAATACTCGTTTTCTTTACCGGATCTTCACTTAAGAGATTACATAAAGAATATTTAGGTCATTGTGGTTGAAAAAAACCTGTTTTGAAATCACGTATTAGGAGACAAGGATTAAAGCAAGTTGGACAGCAATGTTATTTTCATGTTACAGAACGTCGCCTCGACATATTTGACGTTTTTGTTGAAATATTGTACTCGTATAAATGATGATTCAGAGAATTATCATAGAATGCACATTGCACAATTGATGGACGCTTAATTCTGAAAATGTAATTATCAGTACAAAGCTTTTGTATCTACTAAATATTTTGGGTTTTTTCATATCTTGTGATCTTGTAATTGTTTGTGCATCAGACCTGCTTATAGATGTTTTCACCTCCTTCCGTGTATATAAAGAAATTAAATGAATGAAAATAGAAATAAGTTTTTTTTCTGCATTGTCAAAATGCTGAACAAAAGAAATATATACACACACGGTGTGTTGTAAATTTGACTACTTACTTTCCTAGAGATAAATGTTACAGAAACCCTCTGATGTTGAACAGGAAGAATAAAGTTTAAAAAAGGAGTGTCTGCAGCTTAAAGATTTTTTTGTTACAGATTTTGCAGAAAGCCGTTTGTTTAAGTCAGCTTCGAAAGAAGTCATTAAAATATTATCAACTGAAAATGTGACACCAAATTTTCATCACTGGTGTATTACGGAACAGGTTAGTTGCATGTCCTGAGTTTTCAAGTTTTTATATAGATTTTTTTAAAAGCATAAAACATTATGATTTTTGCATATAATGCACACGTTTTCTTCATAAAACGCAAGAATAACTTTATAAAATGCTATTACTCTACGTTTATAAAACAGTTTTGATCATGTTGACAACACATATTACTTTTTCTATCAATTTATATTAATCGTAAGTGGAAAACTGTAAGCATTGTGAAATTCCGTAACAAATCGCGATCCTTGCCATAAAATATTATTTGCACATATTGTATACATTACGTGGACTTCCATGTAAACACTAAATATGTTAACCATATTATTTTATGGTTATTAAAAAAAGACTAGACAAATATGTTACTTTTATTCATTTTACGTACGTTAGTAATGATTAGGGCCCGGATAATTATGTACTAAAAATTGGGAAAATATGTACATATACATGTATTATGATATACAGAAATATGTACTAATGTAAAGTAAGAAATGTGTATTATTAAATCATATTTTTCATTAAAATACCTTTATCTTAGGGTACATTGTTCTGTTTCATAATGTAAAGAACATAATTAAACGTACTTTTCCTAATCCTATTATTTACAATGATTTACTTAACTATAAGAAACAAATATTTCTTTCTAATTTTCAGCAATGAAACTTTTCCTGTCATCTTGAAAGAGGGCCTTGTACTGACTAAAAGAGCGTTGTTCATCGTACGAATCACTAGTGCGTATTTAAACTCGCACAGTTCCTCAGGCGTGTGGTCAATATTCAGTGTGGCGGAATTGTCCCTTCATTGCATTGCACTAATAGTACAAATTATTTCAAATTCGTGGTTTTATCCAGAACGGAGGACATCTTTTTCTTCACATATTGATTTTCGAATGGTAAATGAACAGTTCTTATAGAAGCGATTGCTGATTGGCTAATTTCAAGGCTGTCGTAAAATTTCAAATTAGACGTTTACAAAGATTGAAATGGAGCGCTTGCTGAAAAATGAGGAAATATAATTTTTCAGCTTTTCAGCATTAGACAATAGCTTTGATATGTCTATGGACGCTGCAGCATAAGAATCAAATTAATGTATAAAATATACATTAAAATTAACATTTTCAGCATTGTGACTCATAAAGTCAATCCAGGTGCTTCATCTTGTTAATCCTTTTTATATTGGAAATCAATGGGTCAACTTTATCAACTTGAGATCTAATCTGTTCTGCAACCCAACGCATGGACAGATCAGATTAGAAGTGGTAATTTTGGATGCAACACATGCAGGGCTTCTGCCGCTTTATTATTAATATTCAACAAAATAAATAAATAAATAAATAAACTGTTAAAAATTAAATATGTTAATAAAACAGGAATGGAACCGAAGAAAACGAATTTTCGCACACATCTCAGTTAATGCATATTGAAAATCTCAAAAAAATCATTGTATTAATTTCTGCAATGAATTGTATAATTTTCATATCAATAGGCAAGCATTAGGGGTATGCCGGTTATTACTAACAACTAGTTCAGTTGAAAAGAGTAAATGAAATGCGTCTGTTGTTACCGAGAATCTTTACACAGCGCGTTCATCATTACGTATTTCACGGGGGAATTAATTGTGAGAGACCACAATCTGAAGATCCAATTCCGTTACCAGGAACATTGTAAAATTTATAATCCGATTTCAACATATGTAGTTATTTTAAGACAATGGTTGTCCATCAGGTTCTCGTGCAATTGACTGATGTTGCAAGCAAAGGTTGCCCACTCCATATCTTGACACTTTCGTGATGCATCGGTATTGAGTACACAGGATTAATGCACGTTTCAACAGTGTTGGCGAAGATGTCAATCTCGCGGCTACTTAACGGCTCATAAAACATTGGGCAGTGAACCATTGTCAACATACCCATATTCAGAATTTATCTATCTGAGATGGCATGCGATAAAATAATTGTAGATTCCTGTCGTGAAATTGTGGAACAGGAAATTGCGAATGAGAGTGAAGACGTCGGGAGTCAAATGTAGACATAAGCTTCTGCGGCTCGAGTTCATGACATCTTGGCTGTCCGCGTGACGACGCCTTAGCTGCGAGGCCTGTCGCCTGTCATGTGGCAGGCATCCTCAGGGTAGATAGTCACTACCCTGAGGAAGCCAAGGAGTCAGGTTGCGATTCAGTCATTCCATTTATACGCTTCGGGAGCATGTTAGCTCACATATTGATCGGAAATGACTTGAAATTAACGTTTAACAAATATTGATAAAATTATGAAATACTTTATTAAAAAAATTAGATTCTTATTTGATATTTATTATTTTCTGGACTACAAAGCTCAATTGAACTGAGGCAGATAAGAGAGCCATCTTTGAGAAAAAACAACATTTTCGAGGAATCGCAATTACAAAATTATCATGTCTAAGACACTGTACAAGTCTACTTTCGTGCAGTCGCTTCTGTTTTATATAATAATTTAACTTCTGTTCTTCAATATAAAACTAGATTTGAGATATTGAGTACGATATTCAACAACAAAGGGAAAATCCGAAAAAATATGTTTTAACTATTTTTAACTGAATGTATTTAGCGATTGCACTAGTATTGGTGAGAATTTCATATTTAAAACGTTTGTTCGCAGAAAAACAAAACACTGCCTGAGACTTATTGGCTCATCTCTTAAATATATCCAAAATACAAAGCACTGAGAAACAGGCACCTCAGGATCTTTCATTTATAGACACGCCAAGGAATCTTATTCATACTGTTTTTACGGTTGGTTCGTGAAGTGTATTTTGTTGAACATTGATTAAAATTATGAGACTACTAGGTATTAAAAAGTATTCAAATAAGTGCCATATATTGATGTTTAAAAATAAGTTATGAAAACCAAAAACTAAATATAACGTCGTGTAACGTACAAAATCCCAACATTTCCGTACCATAAGCAGAAATTGCCGCCAACGCAATTTAATGACCAACCCATCGCGTATGATTTTTTTGTCTAGAACATGACTAAATTCGGTCTGAGCGAGGATTGGCGAGTGATGTCCACGAATAAGGACTCCGACGGCTTCGAGTTCGTGTCGACGATCGAATCCCGATCGCGCCCGTTCTACGCGACCATGTTCCACCCCGAGAAGATCGGCTACGAGTGGAAGGAGAAGCACCGCACCCCGCACGACGCGCACGCCGTGCTCACCATGCAGTACTTCGCCGACTTCTTCGTCGACGAGGGTGAGTAGGCGCGGGCGCGAGCGCACTAGCCGCCTACTTGGCTGCCCGGAACAGGCTCAGATGGCTCACAACAGCAACTAAAAAAAGCAACAAACTTTTCTTACTCGTTCGGCCCTTTGGCCTTTCGGCCTTTCGGGGTTTATTATTTACAAAATGCATATTACATGAACATAAACAGTCTCCTCTTCTAGTTACATCATGGAACAAGTACACTTACTTGAGTTTTATGTTTCAATCTATCTACACTCTCTGTTTACCTTTAATACAAAAAATATGCAAGAATACAAAAATATACATTGAGTAAAAATACCACACTCGTGAATAACACATATATACCGTTATTGCAATCATACACAATGTTTATAACCAGCAATCCATGGCGGCTTTAAGCGATCTTTTGGAAAGCGCGACAATATTCTGGATGGTGCATAAGCTGTCCGGCCTAGGTTGTAAATTCTTTTGCTAGGACAAGTAGGGCAGCAACTGATGTCACTGCACTGTCTCTGAGGGAGGGGCCCTAGGGTTCGAGTCACGACGGTGACATGGCTTTCGACACTAGGCACGTAGTTAGATCGAATTCAACCGCTGTTTGGAGGAGAATCATGGCTGCCGTCTGCTCTCCAATCAACACCAGGCAAATGCCAGAGCTGCACTCTAACAAATGGGTCATGGGCCGCTCGCGGTCTTTCCCACATCTTCCTTGTCTTATCATCTTCACTTGCTTACCATTAATTGCACTACACAATCAAACTAGGCACCTTGTTCGGGCTGGGGCAGTGCTCCGCTGGTGCGAGATTCTTAGTTGGTAAAAACGCCACTTGCCGACGAGTAGATCGGCGCTACATTTCACCATTCAGCGGGAGACGATCACCGTCACTCCCCGAGGAAAACATGTACCACATTTACGAGGTTAATTACCTTAGCAGTTGTCGCACCCAGAAACCCGAAATCAATACATCAACCATTGGCCGAGAGCCGCCATGTCTTACGACACAGATACCAACGTTTTGGTTGTCATGCTGCCCATTTTGCTCAGAGGAAGGTCGCAGTAGGACGGCAAAAACGTTGGTATCTATGCCTAGCAAGTAGGATAGTCCTGACAGACAAGTGTATGCCAAACCTGCATCGATATTTCGAGAATAAGAACCTTAATTATTACCTGTGTTGATAAAGGGGGGTAGGCGAGTCTGAACTACCTTTGGTCATTGGAATAAACTACCTTTCTGCTGAATGATTGTAATATTGGGGATCTGGAGTAAATGTTGCATCGCGGCACCAATAATGAATTTAATTATAAAGCGGTTATTTTTTGCCCAGTTATTGCAATATATCTAAATAAATTTTTACTGCCAAAAAACAAGTACAATAAAAATAAAATACATGCATTTGTCAAAAAAGAAAAAAAAATCAGTGTATTGTTTCCATTCTAAGTGAAAACAATGGGTCACTATCAGACCGGCTGGCGGAGTCCTTGAAGACCCTCTTTGTTTTTAACAATTGTCCTTAAATTTCGTAAATAAGTACACATACGTAATTAACATTAGTGTGTCCAATGAATTATATAAAATATCTTATTTTTATTTGCAGCTCGGAAGAGTAGCCATAAATTCAGCCCTAATGGAGAAATAGAACTTATTTACCAGTACCAACCGACTTATACCGGAAATCGAACCATCTATCAGCAACTCTACTTCTTTAACTATTGACTACCATCAGCAGTGCTTGAATAATTTTAATGATTGTATTGTATGTATGCAGTAAAATATTTAAATAAAATGTTTTGAGCCTGAAAATGAAATTCTTGTATCCGAAAGGGACACTAAGTTATACGTTTTTGTAATTTGTTTTTGCTGAGTTAAAATATCACTTGAGGGGTAAAAATGAACATCATTAATTGAGAAAGTAAAATTGTGCGTGCAAATATGTACGAGAAAACAAGAAAAAGAGAGAAAACGAGAATGTAATGAAGTAATGAAGGGAGGGAGGGACACTTGATGACGCCAGAGGGTATGAGACGAAAAGAGATGACAGAAAGGGAAGTCAGCGAGAGAGATGTGAGAGGAGAAAATGGGAAGAGAAAGAAGGAGAATATTGAAGAGCAGCGTGTAAGAGAAAGAGAACTGAAATGAGTAAAGAGATGCGTAGGGGCCATTGAGAGGCAGGTATAGACGCGAAGAGATGGAAGTAATGAATGCAAGAAAATATCGAAAATAAGAGGAAGGGTGACGAAGGGAATACGAGTGGGAACTGGGAAATATTTAAAGTTCACTCGTAACCGAGTTATAATGAAAATGAGGCAAGCAATTTTAACATTATCAAAGATTTAACAAAAGAGTAAACAAGAAGTGTAAATTTTAAAGTTTCTCTAAGAGAATGTGGTTTTTGAAATGTGTCGACAATGTAAACAGCCCTGTTAACTTAACATAAGCAGTTGAATTATCTCAGGCCGTTTGGGATGCCTTTCAATAAACTTTAACGCAAAGCATGAAAAAGTGCATGGTAACAGATAATGCTTGGAGATACGATGTGAGAATAATGTGATATAGCTCTTTGATGTATTGTCAACAAAGTAATATTGTTTCAAAGTTCATTCACTTTACTAAATAAAACTGACAAATACAGTGCACCTATTATCTTCAACAGGGATTAAAGGTTGAAGAAATTATCAGTTTATTGATAATGAATATCTTCTGCATCCCACTCTCTGAGCCAAGAGTTCCAGAACGTGAATAACTGATAGTTCGAAAATGTCATTCTATAATTTTTGGTCACCCTTCAGTATAATTGTTTTAAAATGTCAGTTTTATGTTTCATAATATTGCATAATTTTAATAATATGCATTTTATTGCACAATATTCTAGATCTATTCTTATTTTTATTTTTTTAATTAATAATAATAATAATAGTAATAATCCCCTTATTGTATTCGAGTAACTTCTTAAGAGTGCGCTTGTGTGTCTGTGCGGATGTGTGGTTCCGTCACTCACGATTAGAACACTTCCCATGCACCAATGCGTCTTGAAGCGTCTTGGTCTCCTGGTGGAGAACTGATTATTTTTTTTGAGATCTGACCATTAAAATTTTCTAATAAATTTCCAAAAACGTGTTTTTCATGCTTTAGCGCTGCATTCTTGGTAAGTATGTTGGGAATCAAACCAACCAATATAAATGGATTTATGTATAGGCGGTGTTAATTAATTTTTCGAAGAAAAAGACGAAGAGAATGTTGAAGAGAAAGGACAGACAAAGAGAAAGGACGGACGAAGAGAAGGACGGAAAAAGAGAAGGATGAACGCAGAGAATGACGGGCGAAGAAAAGGATGGACGCAGAGAAGGACGGTCATAGTGAAAAACACAGAAGAAGACAGAAGAAGTTTTAGAAATCAAAGAATACGAGAATACACAAACAGAGAATTTCCTTTCAGGAAAAATGAACTAAATAAGTGGAGGGCCTATAGGGTGACGGAAACGGAAGTGGAACGGAAAATTAACTAAATAAGTGAGGGATCAGACGGCCGTGAGTCCACGTCTCCGAGAAGAGTATATTGGTGTCGTCGATCCGGTCGCTGCGTCTGGGCTGCGGGGATCAGCATTATGTCTTTACAAAGTATTGTGAAGACGATCTTTTTTTATGAGAAATCGGAATATGGCATGTGACCCAGAAGTGCCACACATAAATGCGTGTTTGCCGACAACGTCGTGTGATTTTCAAATTGATTTTAAAAATATGTACTACGAAAAATTGAAAGAAAAACATTTTGAAATAACTTCTGACGAATTAAGTTTTATGAAACAATTACATTACCGAAGTTCAGAAAAGCCAAAGGTAGAAATCGTGCTCAATATCACAAAATAATTGGAAAACTGAAGTGGTTAGTTCGCCACGCTGACAAAACATCTTAACTGAATAAAGAGGTCTCCAAATCGAAGAAAGAAAAATCAAACACCCGAAGAAAGATTAAAGAGTCAGCTAGTAATTTTCCTGAGATATTTCTCATTTTGGTACCCTATCTTTGCACACTTTGTTCGTTTTTCACGCTCGTTAGTTTAGGTAATATACTAACTAATTTTTCTTTTTATTTTCAATATATACGAATATTTTTAACTTTTCAAGGAATGTTACCAAAAGGTGACTTATCCACTCCAATTATAACTAATTTTCCCTTTGTTTCGTAATTTGTATAAATTGTAAATGTAAACTGTATTTGGTTTCTTGCCTTCCTTTCCTAAATGGTGCCTCTATACATGTTTTAAAACGCGAGAATTTCACTTGCATGTTATGTTTTAGGCATTTTACGATGCAGTCATTTTTTCATCCCAATTTTTAAATTTCTTTTATGTTTTTAGACAGGAATATTTAAGATTTTAAACTAAAAATTATAATTCTGTAAAGCTAATAATTTGATCAAGTATAATAAGGTTAGTGCCAATCTAATGCTCTGATCATTTATTCATTACTTGTGTGCTCAACGTTTCTATGTATTGTTTATTGTTTTGTATGAAAGTGAAAGTATCCTTTTCTTTATACAAATTTATCAAAATTCGACAAAATTTGTTCTCGTAAATCTCATATTTTGAAAAAAATGTAATAAATTTAATTATTATAGCTTAATGAAATAAGTAAAACAATATGAAATATAAATGTCGGGATAAGTCCAAATTATTTGAAACATTAACTCTTCTACAAAAATTTACATACATAATCTAATGCCTCTGAAGTCGATACAGATACAGCAATAACACAAAATATTTCCTTACACATAAATGCGTTTTTCACTATGATTCGTTTTTTAAGTTTCTTGGTAGTAGAAAATACACTTTCTACGAACATGACTAAAAGTGAATTCTGCTGAAAAGTAAATGTTTTATTCAAACTCTGAGAAACATCTTGATAAGTTGAAAGTTTGAAAATCTTTTGACTACTTTATCATTACAAGGGGGTATAAAATTATACAGGTGAGAAGTGTTTGTTATAGTATGATTTATTAAAACGTCTTCGGCTCTGGGATAAAAAAAACAGTCTATTTACTCTAACTAAACATTTTGCAAATATTTGTAAAGTTTTAAAGTATAAGTATAATATACACGTGTGTTCGTGAAATTTTCGACACCCAGAAGAAATGGTTGGAATTAATTAAAAATCGGTGGATGTGTTGAACAGGATATCCATAAGAAGTGATAAAATTTGCATAGAGATGGCATGCACGTTGGCCTGGTAGCGCCCTCCTTTGTCTGACAGGTCAGGTCAGGGTTACGCTACACTCAGTCGGTGTAGAGCCATCAAATGACGTGAAAACGTGCAAGCAAGTGCCGGTGTACCTCGTTGAGCAAAATAACATAATTTCAGCGTCTGTGTGAATTCAAACGTGGCAGAATGATCGATCTCCGGGAAGCGGGTTTGTCGTACCGTAACATTGCGGCTCGAACAGGGCGCGCTGCTACGGCAGTGTGAAACCAGTGAACAGAGGAGGATCGTACATAGCGACGAACGGGTACTGGTACCATCTTGTCGGCCGTAACCGACAGAAGAACGTCATCCACAGTATTGGCTTGATTTTGGAGTACTGTAACGGGTGTGGTCATGAGTGCGTCGACTACCCGTCGCCGTCTGCTGAGGGCTGGACTAGTGGCACGCATACCACTGCGTCGGACTCCATTGATCAGAAACCACCAACGCCTCTGACAGCAGTGGGCACATAAACCTCTTTACTTGCGCGCTGAATGACAAAATATAATATTTTGGAAGAGTTCCGCTTCAATCGATGCTGCAGCGATGGCCGCGTACGTGTTCGACGCTACCGTGGTGATCGCAATCTGCAAGCCTGCGTTGTTCCGTGCCATAGCGGACAAAGGCTGAGTGTAATGATTTGAGGCCCCATTGGTTACAATGGGCGATCTCTCCTTATATGAATTTAGGTCAATCAGAAGCGTAACCGCTATATCAGGGACGCTTTAGAGTCCGACATACTGTTCCTCCTGCAAACAGCCCCACATGCCATATTTCAGCAGGACAATGCCCGACCGTATGTGGCGAGGAATGTGCAAGCTCTCTGAGAAGAACGACGGGTACCACTATTTCCCTGCACCTTCGTCTGACATGTCGCCCATCGAACATATCTGAGATATGACCAGTAGACAACTAGTTCATTCTGGTCCGCCTGCTTTGTGGGTCTGGTCGATGCTTTGTGGTCACGCATAGAAACAATGGCATCCCCCGCAGCAGATCCAGGCTCTCTTTGAATCTACGCCACGGCTAGAGGCTCTGATAGCAGCGTCCTAATTGGTAATTATGGTCCAAATGCAGGTACAGTACTGTACAGTCATTTGTATATTGTAAATATTCCTAATCTATGGAATAAATTTCAGTGTAATAATACGTTTCCTTCTTAGTGTTGCAAAATTCACAAATACTATTGTCGTTTAATATATTACAATTTTATGAAGATACTTCGGCCTTCTTTGACATAAAATGTAATAGGTTTTGTTTAAATGAATTCACACATGTATTATTAGTTACTGGCTGGTACCAGGCGCGTTGCTGCCGCAGAAGATAAAATATCGATTAAAATTTGAAAGAGATATCTGTTCTTTTTATTATTTAAGAGTTAACTAATTCCATCTCTCTTTCACCTTATTCTCTTTCCCGTTCTCCTTTTCTTCTCTCTATTTCTCCTTCTCTCTTTTTTCCCTTCTGATACTCTCTCCCTTTTCCTTCTCTCTTTCCCATTCTTTCCCACTCTGTTCCACTCTCTGCCACTCCCACTCTCTCTTCTCCATTCTCTCTTCGC